AGCGGGACATGATTACCCTTTTGGTGAACATTTCATAACTGATTGTCATTGATCAATTCATATTATTTTCACCACTGTTTTGTCTTTTATGCTAATGGAATCTGTGAAAACTACATCCATTGCTTCTGTTGGACATAGAATAGATCCCAGCATTGCTTGTCTTGCATAGTCTGATAGACCTATCATGACACCCAAACATGGAACATTGCTCATGATTTCAACCAAAGGTTTGTATGTCATAATTTACAGGATACCATGATGTAGTTTAAATGTGATGTAAAAAACAAACCAAACAGTACAAATCTATAAGGCTTATAGATGTAGTGTCTTAAAGTATTCCCCATAACAATTACGTTTCTAATGTAATATTGAATTCGGTTTGTTTCGAGAAATGCAATCTTTAAGTTTTCTCAAATTTGAGTTAAAACGGTTAATCTCATGAAAACAGCGCCTGGTGTACCAATCCTTGTTCCTCTCCATGCATCACTAAAATATACACTGAATATACACCAGCAGTTTTCTGTTCACAAGCAACCATGATATCAGTCATTATTATTTGATATCAAAACCTATTCGTATTACTGTCGTATCAGTTGTATGTGTGTCTGTTAGGATGAATTATCAACAAGGCAGTAGGACGACATAAGGTTATTGATCAGCGGGAGATCAATGCTTCATGCACTGTGATAGCTTTGTGTGGACCTACACATGTGTGAGGATATAAAGCCTTAGATTACGGACTGTTAATATAGAACACAATACTCTCACCAGAATGATGTAAACTATTCTAAAGAAGTAAAGGACAATATGTCATGCCATGAGTGAGTGAGGGAGGGAGTATGTTTTTATGCCGCTTTTAGCAATTTTCCAGCAATATCACTGTGGGGGACACCAGAAATGGGCTTCTCACATTGTACCCATGTTGGGAATGGAACCTGGGTCTTCGGTGTGACGAGCGAATGCTTAATGCTACCATCACACCAAATTAGTTCAATCCCATTCTACCTCGTTCTAAAAAAAATATACTACAACGGGCTGTGATCATGGTAAAACGCATAGTTTGGCGTAAAATACAATGCTAGTCGAAGCAGTCCTCAATACGTCTATCTCGTTCCTACCCAGTCTGCAGTCCGTTTGTATCCAGTTCAGATCGTGTAAAAGTGCCTGTTCACCTCATCCCGACAACATTTCGAAGCAGTTCGAGCACGTCCGTAGTCATTCTGAACCTGTTCTTAACCAGTTCAACGTCATTCTACCTCGTTCACAATACGTCCGAACCAGTTCTAACTATTCTTAACGCTGACCAACTCGTTCGCAGTACGTCCTCATCTTGTCCCAAGTGCGTGTGTATTCGCGTCCTGGCCCATCCTGGCCCGTCCTGGCCCAATTCCTATGGATACCGAGCACATTGTAGCCAGTCTTCATTCAAGTTCAGGGCTCTGAGCTGTACACATCATGCCTCAAAAGAGAAGTCGATCCGGTCGCTGTGCACACGTACTGAAATTTATGTCCGACTGCACCACGTTTTAACACGTCCCTATTAGGTTAGAAGTACGGCAATTCCGTTCGTAATGTTGTATGTTGTCAATCCAACTAATTGGAGAACGGGATGGACGGGATAAAATTTTGAGCAGACTCAAAGTTCTAGAGCACCCTCCCTGTCCGAGCCCATCCATGAAGATCGTAAAAAGACTGTCAATAGTTGCTGCTACGTCCACTACGTTCATACACAGTTGGAGCCTGTTCGACAACATTTTCACGAACGTATTGAGAACTAGTTTGGTGTGATGGGGGTATTAACCACTAGGCTACCCAACCGCCCCACATGCCATGACAGATTAACTACAGTAATATGAAAGAATAGGGTGGTCCTTAACATCTTTTGAGTAGTATATTGCGATATGTTTACTGGGAGCTAGTGAGGATATACAAATTTATTCACAGTTTGAGACACCACAGTGCTGATACTAGTCCTTACTGCTTATCTAAAGGCACCGTCCCAATGGATGGTTGTCTGATCATTGATGTTTTACCAAAATGTTTTTTTCATCTTTCCATCACAAAAGAAAAAATAATCCATTGTCCAATGGTAGATTTATTAGGACATCATGTCCTATTTTTCTTGAGTGATTGATATTTGGCTTGTTCGTTTGTCCAGCCTAGATTTGAACTTGGGCCTAGCTCTAGGCAGGGTTAGAGGGTCACTTAGGGGTGTAACGCACTGCTGATTCATCACAATTGCTGATAACAAAACATAGATGACAAGCCAAACTATCAATTGCTGACATCAGTGCCATACTATTCTATTGTTATTTCCAATAGACGTATAATAATGAAAAAAATACTGCTATTGATTTACTTTCCAAATTGTTTTGAGCTAAAATCGATGTTGAAGAGACACATGGTTATTCATTCAGATAATGTTCATAAATTTAAGGCAACACAGTATGTAAGGATTGTTTATCACTTTTTTGTGCATTTATTGAAAAGTAACAGTCACAAAATATGTAGCGTAGCAGAGCTGATCGAGATTAGGCCAAGCTACGAAACAGAAGGCCGTTCTAAAGATGTATTGACTGCAAAGAAATCACATACAATGTGCTAGGTGCTATAAGCTCTTATGGCAATACAGTATTCTCCCCTGAACAGTTTGTTTAATTGATTTGTTGATGGTTTATAACAGAAGCCCTCTGAATCTTTTGGCTCTCCGATACATAGGAGTTCCCAATACTATTTTTAGACATTGTTTGAACTGTTGCAAAATGGTGAACTGACACAAGGTCATGGGGAATCTCTTTAACATTCACTTTTTATTCCATGTCAGTCAGTCTGAGTCATGAAAAATAGGATAACACACACATTGTAATTTTTTAGAGATATTGCCCGAAAGGCCACACATTTTATATTTTTTGTTTCACAGGCCCACCGCCCCTACTGAAAAGCAGCTGGAAAAGAAATAAATTAAACATAAAAATATTTACTTTTATTATGTCTCCCGCTAGTATAAATAAGGACCCTCTTCTAAATATAAAATGTTATATAAATTCCATGTCTACATTACTATCAGTGATTCCATGTCTACATTACTATCAGTGATTCCATGTCTACATTACTATCAGTGATTCCATGTCTACATTACTATCAGTGATTCCATGTCTACATTACTATCAGTGATTCCATGTCTACATTACTATCAGTGATTCCATGTCTACATTACTATCAGTGATTCCATGTCTACATTACTATCAGTGATTCCATGTCTACATTACTATCAGTGATTCCATGTCTACATTACTATCAGTGATTCCATGTCTACATTACTATCAGTGATTCCATGTCTACATTACTATCAGTGATTCCATGTCTACATTACTATCAGTGATTCCATGTCTACATTACTATCAGTGATTCCATGTCTACATTACTATCAGTGATTCCATGTCTACATCACTATCAGTGATTCCATGTCTACATTACTATCAGTGATTCCATGTCTACATCACTATCAGTGATTCCATGTCTACATTACTATCAGTGATTCCATGTCTACATTACTATCAGTGATTCCATGTCTACATTACTATCAGTGATTCCATGTCTACATTACTATCAGTGATTCCATGTCTACATCACTATCAGTGATTCCATGTCTACATCACTATCAGTGATTCCATGTCTACATCACTATCAGTGATTCCATGTCTACATTACTATCAGTGATTCCATGTCTACATTACTATCAGTGATTCCATGTCTACATCACTATCAGTGATTCCATGTCTACATCACTATCAGTGATTCCATGTCTACATTACTATCAGTGATTCCATGTCTACATTACTATCAGTGATTCCATGTCTACATTACTATCAGTGATTCCATGTCTACATTACTATCAGTGATTCCATGTCTACATTACTATCAGTGATTCCATGTCTACATCACTATCAGTGATTCCATGTCTACATTACTATCAGTGATTCCATGTCTACATTACTATCAGTGATTCCATGTCTACATTACTATCAGTGATTCCATGTCTACATTACTATCAGTGATTCCATGTCTACATTACTATCAGTGATTCCATGTCTACATTACTATCAGTGATTCCATGTCTACATTACTATCAGTGATTCCATGTCTACATTACTATCAGTGATTCCATGTCTACATTACTATCAGTGATTCCATGTCTACATTACTATCAGTGATTCCATGTCTACATTACTATCAGTGATTCCATGTCTACATCACTATCAGTGATTCCATGTCTACATTACTATCAGTGATTCCATGTCTACATTACTATCAGTGATTCCATGTCTACATTACTATCAGTGATTCCATGTCTACATTACTATCAGTGATTCCATGTCTACATTACTATCAGTGATTCCATGTCTACATTACTATCAGTGATTCCATGTCTACATTACTATCAGTGATTCCATGTCTACATTACTATCAGTGATTCCATGTCTACATTACTATCAGTGATTCCAGAAGCCAGCTGCAGCTTTAATTTGATGAATGACTTTCATATGAATAAATAAATGATTGATATAGCTATTTATTTTTAGTTTTATTTTGATCGACCTTGTGTGGAAAAGTTGCAATAAATTCGTCAATCATAAAATTTAAATAGTGTGTGGCCTAAGTGCATAGCAACTTCCCCGAATATTTGCCGCAAATAGTACTTGGCGGACGTCAGTGCCACATTCAGTAAGTAATGTTCCAGTCATATGTCGGCAGCCTGTAAGAAATCGAGTCTGGACCAGAAAAAGAAGTGATTGATATTGTGAGCAACTATCCAGGCCATGAGGTACACAGACACATAAGTCGCCGAGCCTGACTGTTCTAACTCGGAATCCCTACAGGCAGACAGGTTAAACTATTTTATCATATTGAATGATATTTATCACAGTTGTATGCAGTAGTGTTTTGGACTATCTATTGCAAAAGTCACAATGTCCTCAATAGTCACCCCTGTTTTCCAGAGACAATCATCCAGAATGACGCAACGAGAGCTCCACAACTATAAGTGCACTCTGAGTGATGAACTCCTTGAGAAGGCCAAGAAAGAGCTGACTGAAGACCCTGACACTCGCAAACAGGAAATACAGACTTTGAGGGAGAGGCTTCTCCGATACCCAGGTCAGTACTAGAGTGAGTGAGTAGAGTAAGTTCATCTCACAAATTATCTCCTGTATCAAGAAGGGGCACAGATGGGCCAGTCATATCCAGATCCTATGATTGTCAGTTCAGATCCTAGATGCACCCAGATCAGGAACAAGACCACACCTGATCCTAGATGGGCCCTGATTAGCATCTGCGGGAAACACAATTCACATTGCACTCTGATCAGGATCGGCACCACACCCAATTCTAGATCTGCACAATATCTGATCCTAGATTCTCTCTGATTAAGAACTGCACCATACCCACTCCCAGATCAACCCAGATAGAATCAGCACCCCTTTCCCCCCATTGATGTTCTCTGATTAGGATCAGCACTACACCAAATCTTGGATGCACCAAGATGAGGAACTGCACCACAACAAATCCTAGATGCACCCTGCTTAGGAAAGGCACCACACCCAATCCTAGATGCACCCACATTAGGAACTGCCCAACACCAAATCCTAGATGCACCCAGCTTAGGAAAGGCACCACACCCAATCCTAGATGCACCCACATTAGGAACGGCCCAACACCAAATCTTAGATGCACCCAGCTTAGGAACTGCACCACACCCAATCCTAGATGCACCCACATTAGGAACGGCACCACACCCAATCCTAGATGCACCCTGCTTAGGAACTGCACCACACCCAATCCTAGATGCACCCTGCTTAGGAACTGCACCACACCCAATCCTAGATGCACCCTGCTTAGGAACTGCCCAACACCAAATCTTAGATGCACCCAGCTTAGGAAAGGCACCACACCCAATCCTAGATGCACCCAGATCAGGAACTGCACCACACCCAATCCTAGTTGCACCCTGCTTAGGACTGGCACCACACCCAATCCTAGATGCACCCTGCTTAGGAACTTCACCACATCCAATCCTAGATGCACCCTGCTTAGGAACTGCACCACACCCAATCCTAGATGCACCCTGCTTAGGAACTGCCCAACACCAAATCTTAGATGCACCCAGCTTAGGAAAGGCACTACACCCAATCCTAGATGCACCCTGCTTAGGAACTTCACCACATCCAATCCTAGATGCACCCTGCTTAGGAACTTCACCACATCCAATCCTAGATGCACCCTGCTTAGGAACTGCACCACACCCAATCCTAGATGCACCCTGCTTAGGAACTTCACCACATCCAATCCTAGATGCACCCTGCTTAGGAATGGCACCACACCCAATCCTAGATGCACCCTGCTTAGGAACTTCACCACATCCAATCCTAGATGCACCCTGCTTAGGAACTTCACCACATCCAATCCTAGATGCACCCTGCTTAGGAACTGCACCACACCCAATCCTAGATGCACCCACATGAGGAAAGGCACCACACCCAATCCTAGATGCACCCAGATCAGGAACTGCACCACACCCAATCCTAGATGCACCCTGCTTAGGAATGGCACCACACCCAATCCTAGATGCACCCTGCTTAGGAACTTCACCACATCCAATCCTAGATGCACCCTGCTTAGGAACTGCACCACTCCCAATCCTAGATGCACCCTGCTTAGGAACTGCACCACACCCAATCCTAGATGCACCCTGCTTAGGAACTGCACCACACCCAATCCTAGATGCACCCTGCTTAGGAACTGCACCACACCCAATCCTAGATGCACCCTACTTAGGAACTGCACCACACCCAATCCTAGATGCACCCTGCTTAGGAAAGGCACCACACACAATCCTAGATGCACCCAGATCAGGAACTGTACCACACCCAATCCTAGATGAACCCAGATTAGGAACTGCACCACACCAAATCCTAGAGGCACCCTGTTTAGGAACTGCACCAATCCTAGATGCACCCAGATCAGCAACTGCACCACACCCAATCCTAGATGCACCCACATGAGGAACGGCACCACACCCTATCCTAGATGCACCCACATGAGGAACAGCACCACACCCAATCCTAGATGCACCCTGCTTAGGAACTGCACCATCAACATATCCTGGTTAATATCCCAAATAAGTGACATCTTTGGTGTTTTCATATTTAATATTTGAAACATAAAAATTTCATACTGAAATAAAATGAAAAGGATTCTTCCTCCACCCATATATCTTGGTTCGAGTGATGTTTGATATGAACATGGGGATGCTCATCGTAAGTGGCGACTTAATGGATCAGGCTGTTTGGCTCGATGACTTGGCTGACTAAGCATGTCATTGTGCCCTGACGGCATGGATTGTTGCTCACAATATCCATCACTGGATTGCCTGGACTCACCCCATAAATGGAACATTTATCATTGTCACCCCTCTTCCCTATATTAAATAGCCGGTCCCTTATTAATGTTTCATAACTTTTGGAGAGGGGGTTGTGGAGTGGAGGGTGGGAGAAGAAATAGAACTGTGTCATTATTCATGGCCCCCAAGACAGCCTCCGTGGTCTAGTGGTAGAGTGTCCGCCCGGAGAGCAGAAGGTCAGGGGCTCGATCCCCGGCCGCGTCATACAAAAAGACGTTAAAAGATGGTACTGGTTTTTACCCTGTCTGGCGCTCGGCATTAAAGGGCTAAAACAAGGACTGGTCGGCTCAGAGTCAGTATACTGTGTCTGAGTGGGGTATTCATGTTAAACTGCGGCATGATATCTCAGTGTGCTAGCACTATAAATCGGCATCAGTCCGGACTAGTACAAGCAGCGACATACACACATACACGTGCATGCACGACGTTAAACCCAATTTCACCTCACCTCATCTCATGGCCCCCAAAATGGTGTGATATATTTTGGCAACTCCCCCTTCCCTATTTTGCAGTGTCATTTTTTCATGACCCCCCTCCTAATCTCACCAGTCCCTATGACAAACGACTAGCCCCTAAATAACTTGCGCAATGTTGCCTGGATATTATCTTTTGAAATAAACAGTGTAGGTAGATATTGGCAACGCTTGAAACTGGACTAACATGCCGCCTGTAGGACACAATAATTCTACTTGCCGTCAAGACAGTATTTGATTCTTAGGACAATAATGACCGCCTATATTACATATGTGACCCCCTTTGGAGTGAGTGAGTTTGGTTTTACGCCGCTTTTAGCAATATTCCAGCAATATCACGGCGGGGGACACCAGAAATGGACTTCACACATTGTACCCATGTCGGGAATCGAACCCGGGTCTTCGGCGTGATGAGCAAAGGCTTTAACCACTAGGCTACCCGACCGCCCCTGACCCCCTTTAGAACAGACAAGGGGTCATGATGACCCCCTACAATACACATGTGACCCCCTTTAGAACAGACAGGGGTCATGATGATCCCCAACATTACACATGTTACCCCCTTTAGAACAGACAGAAATATCTACATTGTGCAATATGGGTCACCTGGCCGTCTTTTAGAACTATTGCCCCATCAAATTAGCTACCCGCTTAATAATGATAATTTTGTTGTTTCTGTACTAGGGGGCATGGGTGGCCCAGTCATCTAAGGCGCCGCGATTCACTGTGCAGAGTTGCGTCCCTTGGGCATGCCAGAAACCTATGATTGTGGGTTCGAATCCCAGTTCGCCCTGATTATGTTTCTTGGTTTGTCAGCACTATACCCGTGCTCGTGGGTTTCACCCAAGTGGTAAACATCTGAGACCTGCATCACTTCGGGCTTTTCTCCCACATTAAGCTGACACGCCGCGAAATATAACTGAAATACTGTTAAAAGCGGCGTTAAACCCAACTCACTCACTCATTGTTTCTGTACTCTTCCAGGTTTGAAGTCCCGTGTGGATGATGTGTTCCTCCTCAAGTTTCTACGTGCACGCAAGTTTGACCAGGAGCGGACATTTTCTCTAATTCTCAATTACTATCAGATGAAGAAAGAGAACGAGGACATCTATACCAATATGACCCCCAAAAGTGTTAAACCCCTGCTAGATTCTGAAGTCGTAACTGTGTTACCTAAACCAAGCAAGTTCGGGGAAACGGTCATCATCTTCAGGGGAGGTAATTCCAGTTGTATACTGACTATGAATTGTTGCAGTTTGCACGCTCTGCTACTATGGTGAAACTTTGTTTACCAGGTAACATTGTTTACCAGATAACAGCTGTTAGGAATGTCTATTGTACATATTTACATATGATGTTAATATGAGTGATGATTTGGTGATGTTCCAGAAAGACGAGACAGGATAAGTTCAAATGCCTGATAATTTAACAAGCCTTTTAGGTTTATTACTCTTGCAAGTTTTGGACTTCTCGCATGATCAAATATAGAAATATGGCTAAAATGAGTGAAAGACATTTTTCAAAGACTTCATGTACAAATAGGGGGCACGGGCACCACACCCAATCGTAGATGCACCCAGATTAGGATCAGTAACATATCCTGAATAATATCCCAAATAAGTGACATCGCTGGGCAGAGTTGCGTCCCTTGGGCACGCCAGAAACCTATGATTGTGGGTTCGAATCCCGGTTCGCCCAATTATGTTTCTAGGTTTATCAGCACCATACCCGTGCTCGTGGGTTTCACCGAAGTGGTAAACGTCTGAGGCTTTCCTCCCACATTCAACTGTTAAAACCCAACTCACTTACTCACTCACTCATGTACAAGTTTGTGCCCCAATATGATTATTCTCCCTCAGGCTAAAGAAATAAAAGTCTTAATTGGTTCTCCGGCCCCGCCCGCATCATCATAAAGTTTGCCCAACATTTCATTTTAATTTCCAATTTGGAGAGAAAAAAAGAAGGAAAAAAAAAGTCCAACAATTATGTAGGGAGGCCCTTACCCAGGTTGATTGTACACAACTGTTCATTTGGTTACAGCTTGACCTCCCCCACCAAAAAAACCCAAAACAAAACAAAAACAACAACAATAAAACAAACACCCACCTCATCCCACCCAACCCAACCCCACCCCACCCCACCCCACCCCACCCCACCACACCCCACCCCACCCCACCCCACCCCACCCCACCCCACCCCACCCCACCCCACCCCACCCCATCCGACCCCATCCCAACCCAACCCCACCCCATCCAAAAAAAAAAAAACACACCACCCACTCAGACTTTATTTTCTAAAGCTATTTCCTGAGAACCAATTCTTTTCTTTTTTTTAAGCCTTATGTAGGCCTATGCACTGATTTTATCAGGGTGTCCAACTAAAATCAGCTCGGATCAAAGACTTGCTCATGTTCAGATATTACCTATTCATGTACTGTTAAGTCCAAAATATGCAATTGTTGAAATGATATTGTTGTCTTCGATATTGACACACCTGACTCTTGCATAATGATTTCTAAGGGTTTTGGTAATTTCATTAATTATGCTTGGGCCGTGGGCCAAAAAACTTCCTTATCCTTCATTTTTTCAGACAAATTCATTAGTGTTGGTATTAACAGGCTTTCATGCTTTAGTCCTAGGCGTTCTGTTATATTTAGTAATCAGGGGCCAGTTCCACAAAGCATAGTAGCACTAAGGTGATCATAACTCCCATACTTTAACAAAGACTCACGACTATCGTAGCGCTAAGGTGATCGTAACTCCCATACTTTAACATAGACTCACGACTATCATAGCGCTAAGGTGATCGTAACTCCCATACTTTAACATAAACTCACGACTATCGTAGCGCTAAGGTGTTCATAACTCCCATACTTTAACATAGACTCACGACTATCGTAGCGCTAAGGTGATCATAACTACCCTACTTTAACATAAACTCACGACTATCGTAGCGCTAAGGTGATCATAACTACCCTACTTTAACATAAACCCACGACTATCGTAGCGCTAAGGTGATCATAACTCCCATACTTTAACATAGACTCACGACTATCGTAGCGCTAAGGTGATCGTAACTCCCATACTTTAACATAAACTCACGACTATCGTAGCGCTAAGGTGATCGTAACTCCCATACTTTAACATAAACTCACGACTATCGTAGCGCTAAGGTGATCGTAACTCCCATACTTTAACATAAACTCACGACTATCGTAGCGCTAAGGTGATCATAACTCCCATACTTTAACATAAACTCACGACTATCGTAGCGCTAAGGTGATCGTAACTCCCATACTTTAACATAAACTCACGACTATCGTAGCGCTAAGGTGATCGTAACTCCCACACTTTAACATAGACTCACTACTTTGCAGCGCTACAGTCGCTTTGTTGAACGGGACCCTGTTTCTGCAGTCTGTCTGCAGGTCAGTGTTTGAGGTATTTCAGGTAGTACATCATGGTTTGTCTTATTTCCAGGGCGATGGAATCCTGAGAAATATCCTATTGAAGAAATTTTCAGAGTGTCCTTCCTTGTCAACAGTGCTGTGATAGAGGTAACATGTTGACACTTGTTGACTTAGTTATAACAGTAGGGTTAAAGATAATGGTCATGACTAGGGCTGCAACGAATACACTATCAGGCGAATGCGATTTGAATCACGAATATAGAGTAACAAATACGAATATTAATTCACGAATACAATAACAAGTCAGCAGTTGATGTATTATTTGTTATATTCAGTGAAACAAAAGCAACACAAATTATTTGACATGGTTTGTTTATTATTAACTTATTATACATTTCTATACTGCACTTATCCAGGTGCTAGTATCTGCTCAAATGCGTCAATGACCAGTGACCACATTACTGTCAAATTAAATGTCATAAGAATGTTGTCTTTCACGAAATCTATGCATATAATATGTTCTTATGGATATTTTTAGATACAGGGTATGTAAATGCACATGACTGCATATTCATGAAAATTTGATTCTATTGGTCACGAATAACGAATTCAATTTTTGAATGGATACGGTTCGATTCACCGGATACGCGAGTGAATCGTAACAGCCCTAGTCATGACCCTCAAGAATGACCCGCAGGGATTCTGGGCAGTACAGAGGATGAATCCCAAATACCATCTTATGTTTACTCTCATTGCTCACCCCTGAATCCCAAATACCATCTTATGTTTACTCTCATTGCTCAACACTGAATCCCAAATACCATCTTATGTTTACTCTCATTGCTCAACGCTGAATCCCAAATACCATCTTATGTTTACTCTCATTGCTCAACGCTGAATCCCAAATACCATCTTATGTTTACTCTCATTGCTCAATGCTGAATCCCAAATACCATCTTATGTTTACTCTCATTGCTCAACGCTGAATCCCAAATACCATCTTATGTTTACTCTCATTGCTCAACGGTGAATTCCCAGTACTACTTTACACAAATCTCAAAACCATTGGGAAAAAGGAATTGCATAAGGAATCGCTGTTACCAATTTTGAATTTGGCTTAAAAAAATACAAGAATTGGTTCTCAGGCAATGACTTTTGAAAAAATAGTGCAGTAGGGCAGTGATTTTTTGTTTGTTGCTTTTTCAAACTAGTATGTAACCAAATAAACAGTTGTGTACCAACAACCTGGGAAACAGACTCCCTATAAACAAACATACAAACTCCTATTGCCACCATTACCATAACACAAGATGTGCAGTGAAGCAGTGCCCATGTAAGGGAAAATGACTGCATGCTATTGGATCGCATTGTTTTTAAATATTAGGAATTATTAAAAAAATTAAAATGGCAATAAAAATAAAACATGCAGCAGACTTTATGATGATGTGGGTAGTGCCTGAGAACCAAGACTATTATGTTTTTTTAGCCGTGTTGATATTCACTTTCGGTCTATTGCATTTGGTAATGTTTCGATGTAGATTATTACACCATTATGAAGGTGGACCTTCATTGAAATGTCGCTAAATAAATAATAAAATTGACCAGACATTGTTATCCATAAAGTTTGTTTGTTTCTTTATTTACTAACCAACTTCTAGAATGCCAATCAAACAGCAAGGATCTGCTTTTGACATGTGTCCATACTGATATACTGAACACATTCCCAGATATATTTCCGTTTTACTAGATCTGAGATCCCACACAGGAACAGTTTACAGGACATAGTTTACAAGATATTACCAGGAAATCCTAAACTTATAACAAGGAAACACACATTCAGGATATTAAGTCATATTCTGACGAATTTCTGTACTTTCCTTGTGGTGGATTTAAAGGAAGAGCAATAATCATACGCAAATGACTTTCTTATATTCTATGTTAAAAATTCAGGTCGGTAGGTCAAACTCTTCTTTTTTTTAAATCCAAGTTCAGTAAAAAAAATTATTTCCTCAAAATGTGAAGTTGGGGAAGCAAACTCACTCACTCACTCACTCACTCACTCAAACCCACCCACCCACCCACTCACTCACTCACCAACCCACCCACTCACTCACCCACTCACCCACCCACCCACTCACTCACCCACTCACTCACTCACTCACTCACTCACTCACTCACTCACTCACTCACTCACTCACTGTATTGTTACCGTATTTCCCTTTCCTTCAGTCAGAGGAAGCTCAGGTGAATGGTGTACGGTACATCAATGACCTCACAGACTTCGGCTGGGCACAAGCTAAAACATTCACCCCAACTTTCGCAAAGAAGTTCTCCACATTAATTCAGGTAAGCCATCATGCTGCACTGCAGGATCCACAGTCAAAGGAAACCTCTCAGTTCCAAGAATTCATGTATAGAGTATTTTAAGTATTCATCATGTGTCTAGTGATAAAACACTATTTTTGATATTTCATTTGAGTGAAGTACGACTATAATGCTTGACCTTTCGGTCTGCCTCAATGGCACCATGTTGTTTTAGCTAAGATCAGTAAGAAAATTCATATTGATAGAACATTTACGTATTTTCATAAAAAGTTCCCCAAAGTTTTGTTGAAATACGTCTGCTTCCAGGACGCCTTCCCGATGCGAGTGAAGGGCATCCACTACCTGCATGAACCAGCCCTGTTTGAGTATGTCTTTTCTATCATCAAGCCATTCTTGAAGGAAAAGCTAAGAAAACGGGTAAGCTGGATGGTGTCTTTCTATTACTGAAATGGTGTTGATCATGTTTTGTTTGTTTTATTTGTTTGTTTGTTTGTTGTTTGACGCCACACTCAGCAATATTCCAGCTATATGACGGCGGCCTGTAAATAATCAAGTCTGGACCAGACAATCCAGTTATTGAGGTCTATCCATGCAATTGGGATACAATGACATGCATCAACCAAGTCAGCGAGCCTGACCACCCGATCCCGTTAGTCGCCTCTTACGACAAACATGGTCGCCTTTTACAGCAAGCATGGCTTGCTGAAGATCTATTCAAACCTGGATCTTCACAGGTTGTTGATGATGTGGTTGGAGGAAGTATGTTATGCAGTTCATCCCGAATGTATTATACAGAGTTACTAAGTAAAAACTTACTCTGATAAGTCAAATCAAATGCTTATCATGTTCTATTACCCATGATACAGTGAGACCCGTGAAGATCTGGGGTAGAATAGGTCTTCAGCAACCCATGCTTGCCGTAAAAAGCGACTATGCTTGTCGTAAAAGGCGACTAACGGGATCAGGTGGTCAGGCTCGCTGACTTGAATGATGCATGTCATTGGTCCCAATTGTGTGGATCGATGCTCATGATGTCAATCACTGGATTGTCTGGTCCAGACTCGATTATTTACAGACCGCCATCATATAGCTTGAATATCGCTGAGTGCAGCGTTAAACAACCAACCAACCAACCAACATGATACAGCGACAGGAAATTGTTGATTGATCTGAGTAAAGGCTGCCATGATGAAGTGACTTGACATGTACTAATTTAAAGTATAAGTCTGTAACTACAAAATTGCAACACCTTGAATCAGGGAAGCTGTGATGACTGTAAACATTTGAGACAGCCAATACCCAAGCAAGACAACTAGCGGGATCTTATGATTACAAATTGCAAAATGTGTCCAACAAATCGGGATTATGTTTGTTACTCTGTGGCTCTAAGGTATTTAATAGCATCATGAACTGATGTTTGTCAGATGGACAAAGTACAATCACTGACTTATATGATCATATTTCGGCAATGCCACAATCCCACTTTTGAGAACTACATATTAGATTTTACAAACCTTGGATAAGTCAAACTAATACTCTTGTCCCCAGGAGTTCGAGACAAGGGGGTCCAACAAATATATAACCAAATTATTTAGGTAACTTTTTAACAAGAATATTAAATTCATTAAATTCAGTTAATAGTACTCGCTACCACTACACAAAGATCTGAGGACATCCCAGGTATTCTTCAGAACGACCTGTTGCAACCAATAAAATGAAAAGCCAATCAGAAAGCAGTTTCTCAAATTTTACAGTACCAGTTTCCATTCCACTTATTTTGACAAAGTTTTGATTTAAAAATTGAATACTGAACAAGAGAAAATTGTGGAATGCGTAATAGATGGCCAAGATTGTATGGCGGTACTTCCTATGGGCTATGGAAAGTCTCTTGTGCTTCAAATGTTTATACCATTGAAATGAGAGTCTAACAGATGATTTGTTTGGAATGCCCTATGTGAAACTTTTGGAGGTTGCATGATTAGAAAAGAGATGCTCTGATTGGTCAGATGAAAGGTCGTTCTGACTACCTCTGAATACTTCCTCTATTACATAAGGAATTAGTCCCTCCCACCTCCCCATATATCTGCATCTAGTGGATGTAGTTATTGGAAAGAAGTGAAGATTTCCCACCCAGCGCCTGCGCGGTCACAAGGTAACTTTACCCTAAGCACTGGCCATGGATAGTCGACTGTGAAGAGAAGGTTTGTTACAAATCATGAGAGTTTTTAGTGTCAAGATTGCAAGCATATTAGCAGTGATGTAATAGAGGTAAGTTATTTCAAAGGAATTACAAGTTTTTGTCCATGCATGTTGCACCTTAGACTGGGCCCCTGATATTTGTGTACAAGTTTCATAGGTCTTAGTTGATAAATGTGTACAAGTTTCATAGGTCATAGGTGATATCTGCGTAATAGTTTCATAGGTCATAGTTGATATTTATGTACACGTTTCACAGATCATAGGTGATATATGTGTACAAGTTTCATAGATCAAAGGTGATATATGTGTACAAGTTTCATAGATCACAGGTGATATCTGTGTACAAGTTTCATAGATCATAGGTGATATATGTGTACAAGTTTCATAGATCACAGGTGATATCTGTGTACAAGTTTCATAGATCATAGGTGATATATGTGTACAAGTTTCATAGATCACAGGTGATATCTGTGTACAAGTTTCATAGATCATAGGTGATATATGTGTACAAGTTTCATAGATCACAGGTGATATCTGTGTACAAGTTTCATAGATCATAGGTGATATCTGTGTACAAGTTCCATAGATCATAGGTGATATATGTGTACAAGTTTCATAGATCATAGGTCATATCTGTGTACAAGTTTCATAGATAATAGGTGATATCTGTGTACAAGTTTCATAGATCATAGGTGATATCTGTGTACAAGTTCCATAGATCATAGGTGATATATGTGTACAAGTTTCATAGATCATAGGTCATATCTGTGTACAAGTTTCATAGATCATAGGTGATATCTGTGCTCAAGTTTCATAGGTCATAGTTGATATTTGTGTACAAGTTTCACAGATCATAGTTGATATATGTGTACAAGTTTCATAGATCATAGGTGATATCTGTGTAAAAGTTTCATAGATCATAGTTCATATCTGTGTACAAGTTTCATAGATCATAGGTGATATCTGTGTAAAAGTTTCATAGATCATAGTTGATATATGTGTACAAGTTTCATAGATCATAGGTGATATCTGTGTAAAAGTTTCATAGATCATAGGTGATATCTGTATATTTAGGTTTAGGAGATTATATTTGATAACATCAAACGATTCATCGTCATATCTATTTTTATTTATAATATCTATAATTGAATATTTTTTCTTTCAGCTACATTTTCTTGGAGAAAACGTGGAGGGTCTTCACGAGTATATTGATCCTGAGAACTTGCCAGAAGAGTATGCAGGAAAACTACCATCTATTTGTTCCCAGGTATTGTAGTCATGTGGTACACAGTTCACACACCTCCCTAGATCGCCACAGCTCCGAGGGGTTCTAGGTTAGAATAGCTTCCCAGCAATCCATGTAGATCTCAAGAGTGAGTGAGTGAGTGTGGTTTTACGCCGCTTTTAGCAATATTCCAGCAATATCAAGGCAGGGGACACCAGAAATGGGCTTAACACATTCTACCCATGTCGGGAATCGAACCCGGGTCTTCGCTGTGACGAGCGAACGCTTAAACCACTAGGCTACCTGACCACCTCACATAGATCATTGCTCATATTATTGATTATGAACAACTGTATTGTCTAGTCCAGAATTGATATGGAATGTTGATAGGGAATGGGAAAATTCAAGTCCTTTTCATGGTACATTATCCACTTTCAAGGGAAAACCTAAATTCATGCACTATTAAAAATATACCTCAAACTTCTAGGCCTGTTCAATCTGTGCAGACTCTCCTAACTCATGTACATGGTCAGACAGAACATGCTGTCCATTCTGTTGCTGATATTCTTTTACTTTGTTACAGGAGTATTTTGAACGCCTGCTAACACATGAACAGGAATTTGAAGATGATGCCAAGTTCGGTTTCCTTTCCATGACGATACAACAGCCCAGCAAGAAATCTCAAGATGCTATGGAGAGTTTACCTGGAACCTTCAAGAAACTGAATGTAGATTAATGTTTGTTGGATGCTGACATCAGTAAAACAATTGGTTCCTGGGTACTGTTGCCGGGTGCTTGGTGGTCCAAATTTTCAGACTTGTGGCCGACAGTAGAAATAAACAGAGGTATTTTCTGATGCAAAAGAACCTGATAAGTTGCTTTATAACCTAACGACGGCTAACGTGTATATAGTATATTACAGTCCACTAACTCCACATGTATTCCAGAGTTATATCTCTTGTCTGTATCAGGATCAGCTGATTGTAGTTTAAGATCTCGATTTCTCCCGACATGATCCTTGATCTGACCGTACTAACTTGTGGGTTGAAATATTAGAGTGTGACAGTATTACTATGGGCTATCATCCCATACTGACTGAATTACTCCATTAAAGCCCAACTAACAGACTTATTTTAGTTCTTTCTTGTGATGCCATTTATATCAAAGTGATACCCTGAACTTACGTCCAAGGCCCACAGTCCTGCTAATGCAGCATATCATCAAACAACATGCAACATTGGATTCGAGTCTTGAAAAGTCAAAATCAATACATTTGGTCTCAATTCTACTTCATGAAGAGGACATATGATACAAGACATAAGTCTTACTTTGTAATAAACTAATACAATTGCTGTGGTTGTTGGTGCGGTATGTTCCGAATCGGGATCCTATTAGGAAAATAGTATGGGACAGCCCGTAGCTGTGTGTAGCAGTCAATATCAAAACTGTTTTTTTTACAAGGGAGCTGCACACAGATCTGGTTACCCCAGCTACCGTGATGTACGGCTGGGACGAGTCTACATTTACTACCCTGGTACCCGACCCCCTATGACCCGACCCTACCCAGGTATCCGCTGTAGGTCTCTAGAGTTGGGAACAAACTGTCAGAATGGGAATTGTTTTACCCCATTCCTTGCAAAAACTAATCAGATACATGTATAAAACAATCTGGTCATGCATACACTGAAGTTGACAGAAGCTTTATCTTTACCAAGTCATATAAAAGTCAGAAAGTCATGCACAGTCAGAAAGAAATGCGAACACTAGCAACCCACACTACATGAGTACCCGAGTTACCCATCCCAGCCCTACTCTCCAGACGTGTTTGAGGGCAGACCAGTTTGTTTCTTCTTGCACACACATTCTGGGACAAGATGCAGATGCATAAAGTATCAATTAATTATGAAAATACATTCATTAAAGATAACCATGACATTCAAGAAGGGGACAGGTTGACTGATATTGCTTAGCTTGCAAAAAGAATGTATATATGTGTCAAGTTGCTCACAAAGAGATTAATCTATTTTTGTGCATCAGAGAGTGAGCCCTTGACAGCCTTTATATTTGACATTGGTCAGCTGGTCAGCTGGGTGGGTTTTGTTGCACCCCTCTTCTCACTCACTCACTCACTCACTGTAAACCAGGAAAATATGTCTGCCCAAAATTTACACAAATGAAATATTTTTTCTAGCTATTGTATACATATTTCTGAAATGCACCCTGACCCTTGTCATCTGCTGCTGTAGTGAGTGAATTGGGAATTGCGTATTGCAGCACCTTAGACAACTGCCCACCCCCCACCCCACTGCTGTAATAACACCTTGAAGTTAGCCCTGCATGTCACCTGAATCTCAGGACTCTACATATATTTCTCAGGGTTGTTTTGAAGTATTGTCTTGGTCAATGTCAAAATGCAGGATGCATAATAAAAAAATGAAAAACAATGTTGTCATGGATTTCTTATAAAAGGTTCCTTGTTAAAGAGACAGTGCTGAAATAATTCAATTTCCTTGTTGAACAAGTTAAATTTGAAAGAATTGAGAATGAACAGGATTCCAGATTTATCACAGCGTGTCAGCATAGTAGGGGATAAAGCATGTGAACGTAGCGTGGATGTGCTCGAAGTGATGCAGGTCTCGGATGTTTACCACTTTGGTAAAACTCACGATAACGGGTATGGTGCTGACAAACCTAGAATCATAATCGGGACAAACTGGGATTCGAACCAACAATAATATTTCTGGTAAGACCAAGGGACACAACACTGAACAGCAAATTGTGGCACCGGAGACGACTAAGCCACCCATACTTCGTTGAATCTGATGAGTGTATATATATTTTCAAAGAATTTTTGAAACTTTAGTTCAGGTACCAGCCCATGTGTGTCTGGTAAGCATGATGTTACTGACACTAATGTGACTTGAAGAATTTATAGGAAAGTTTCTGTTGTGTGCTACCGGCTTTGATGACTTTTCCAGCATCAGACCAGTTATTTCTGGTTAACGTTTCTAAAGAAAAAGATATGTCCTTTTCTCTCAGATGCCAATGTAAATGTATCATTTATTTCAAGTCATATGTACTAACTACATATTTACCAAATTTTATTCCATTTTGACAAAAATGGTTGAGTGATGGCCACAACTAGCTTTTTCAATAAGGTTGCTGTGGCGGCATTGTTGAAAATAAGATTTGAACCTCTTGAACAAACGTTGTGTTATTGGCGAGAACAAGCATGTGAAATTTCAGCTTCATTGGTCCAATGGTTTCCATGGAGATATTTGCACTGGACATCGGATAAACAGGCCACGACATAAGCTCACTTGACTTTCAGTCAGTTGAGTTAAAGAAACATCTTGCCTGACAAGAGATCCTCAACACACAACTAGTCATTTCCCACACATGCAGCTACTTCCCAGTCAACCCGTGAAGATCCGGGTTAGAATAGGTCTTCAGCAACCCATGCTTGCCCTAAAAGGCCACGATGCTTGTCGTAAGAGGTGACTAATGGGATCGGGTGGTCAGACTCGCTGACTTGGTTGATGCATGTCATCGATCCCAATTGTGTGGATCGATGTTCATGATATTAATCACTGGATTGTCTGGTCCAGACTCGATTATTTACAGACCGCCGTTATATAGCTGGAATCTTTCTGAGTGCGACGTAAAACAACAAACCAACCAACCAACTTCCCAGTCTAAGTGCAGTAGAGCAGATTTCCACAAATAGGGTACAGTACTGCAGCTACTGATTACACACAATCAAACCTGGACACATCTTCAGTAAACCTGCATGACACTTGGGACTGACACTGCCCAACAGTAACTTCATCAAGTGGCCCATGACTTCAACACCGGCTGGGAATAGTCATGGATACTGATACATAAACAACTATATAGTTTGTTTCGTATTTCGTAACTTTTATTATACACTTTATACAAAAGCATTCACATTATATATATATACAAAAACAAATTATGTCTCCCTATATACATATAGATGTTTTGAGACCTTGTCAATGTTAAGGCTTAAAAAAATAAAAGAATTAGTTCTCAGGCCACAGGTTTTGAAAAAATAGTGCGGGGTGGCCTTTTTTTGGGGGGGGGGGGGGTTGAAACTAGTATGTAACAAAATTAACAGTTGTGTACAATCAACATGGGAAAGGGCCTTCCTACATAACTGTATTCCTTGATGCATGAAATACTGGAATACAATATTTGATTACCATATGACTACACGCATACAATGAGCTTCGATTTTTTTCACAACACAAAGATGTTATCGTGAGCACACAACACAGGAAGTAGCATGTCAACAAATCTGTACTGAAGTTAGTCCTGTTATAACACTATCTGGCTATAAAAGCGTTCATTGTGTATCTGGACTGACGTTTGTACTCCATTATACTACTTTTGTTCAAGATCTCATTCAATTTTGTTTGCATTATTTTCGGCGAAATTGTGCATTAACTGATCGTCCGAGACGCGGAATATTTAAGGATTTTTTTGTGAGGCAGACTTTGAGTTGATGCAGCTGTGCCTGAGAACCAAGATTACTTTTTTTTTCGCCTTATGCATAACAACCAGCACAGACATTTCATGCAGTTGAAAAAGTCACTGCATAGCACTGTTCCTCCTGTGGCTAACTTCTCTCCTGATTGAATATCCCACCATGTGTTACCTCCCCTTGTATTCCATTGACGTGATGAGTGAGAAGGCAAGAGATTCCACTGGAAAAGGACAAATATTTGAATCTGAGAGGAAGAAACAGCAAATGGTAACACAAATGACGACAAATGATAACCTCATCCTAGCTTCATTCTGCTTCCAATGGATATGCATAACTACACATTGCACATAAATCTCATACTGAAAGCCTGCGCTCCACAGATTGACCCCCAATTTCACACCTGGGCCCACTTGCACAAAGCGATCTTTGCGCTAAGAAGATCGTAACTCCCATACTTGAACATAGGCTTACAATAGTTGTAGCTTTGTGCAAGTGGGCCCTGTTCGAATTGATGTAGTTAGTGCCATTTTGTAACTGAGACAAGCTAACTAATTATTAACTGTTAGATGAATATATATCATAGAATGTTGCTATAACTGCTGTATAGCCTTCGCCTAGTCTCCATAGAATTCAAACACAGGAGACAAGGAGACAAGCCTTTGTACTGTTAGCTACTGCAGTGGAAATGTCACGTCCTCTCTGGCGGAAGGAGAACATGCACTGGCAAGGACGAGGTGTATACTTACAGTGAGGGAAGGACCCTCGTTTTATGACGTTGTTGAGGAAGGAGTACATACACTGGCAAGGTCGAGGTGTATACTTACAGTGAGGGAAGGACCCTCGCTTTATGACGTTGTTGAGGAAGGAGTACATACACTGGCAAGGTCGAGGTGTATACTTACAGTGAGGGAAGGACCCTCGCTTTATGACGTTGTTGAGGAATGAGAACATGCACTGGCAAGGTCGAGGTGTATACTTACAGTGAGGGAAGGACCCTTGCTTTATGACGTTGTTGAGGAAGGAGTACATACACTGGCAAGGTCGAGGTGTATACTTACAGTGAGGGAAGGACCCTTGCTTTATGACGTTGTTGAGGAAGGAGTACATACACTGGCAAGGTCGAGGTGTATACTTACAGTGAGGGAAGGACCCTCGCTTTATGACGTTGTTGAGGAAGGAGTACATACACTGGCAAGGACGAGGTGTATACTTACAGTGAGGGAAGGACCCTCGCTTTATGAAGTTATTGAGGAAGGAGTACATACACTGGCAAGGTCGAGGTGTATACTTACAGTGAGGGAAGGACCCTTGCTTTATGACGTTGTTGAGGAATGAGAACATGCACTGGCAAGGTCGAGGTGTATACTTACAGTGAGGGAAGGACCCTCGCTTTATGACGTTGTTGAGGAAGGAGAACATACATTGGCAAGGACGAGGTGTATACTTACAGTGAGGGAAGGACCCTCACTTTATGACGTTGTTGAGGAAGGAGTACATACACTGGCAAGGTCGAGGTGTATACTTACAGTGAGGGAAGGACCCTTGCTTTATGACGTTGTTGAGGAATGAGAACATGCACTGGCAAGGTCGAGGTGTATACTTACAGTGAGGGAAGGACCCTCGCTTTATGACGTTGTTGAGGAAGGAGAACATACATTGGCAAGGACGAGGTGTATACTTACAGTGAGGGAAGGACCCTCGCTTTATGACGTTGTTGAGGAAGGAGAACATGCACTGGCAAGGTCGAGGTGTGTACTTACAGTGAGGGAAGGACCCTCGCTTTATGACGTTGTTGAGGAAGGAGAACATACATTGGCAAGGACGAGGTGTATACTTACAGTGAGGGAAGGACCCTCGCTTTATGACGTTGTTGAGGAAGGAGAACATGCACTGGCAAGGTCGAGGTGTATACTTACAGTGAGGGAAGGACCCTCGCTTTATGACGTTGTTGAGGAAGGAGAACATACATTGGCAAGGACGAGGTGTATACTTACAGTGAGGGAAGGACCCTCGCTTTATGACGTTGTTGAGGAAGGAGAACATGCACTGGCAAGGTCGAGGTGTATACTTACAGTGAGGGAAGGACCCTCGCTTTATGACGTTGTTGAGGAAGGAGAACATACATTGGCAAGGACGAGGTGTATACTTACAGTGAGGGAAGGACCCTCGCTTTATGACGTTGTTGAGGAAGGAGAACATACATTGGCAAGGACGAGGTGTATACTTACAGTGAGGGAAGGACCCTCGCTTTATGACGTTGTTCAGGAAGGAGAACATACACTGGCAAGGTCGAGGTGTATACTTACAGTGAGGGAAGGACCCTCGCTTTATGACGTTGTTCAGGAAGGAGGCCAAGAACTGAATACAGCGTGAAAACTCCAGCTCCATATCTTCAATAATCTTCATGCTGCCAACACAAGGACATGTCTTACACTAGGATCATGCTGGTAGGCTGAGGCTCATCAACGCTGATCTGATATCTATGTTGTTGAAAGGAGAGCAGAAATTCTGCCTTCCGTAGGTTGTTTTTCTCTCTGAGATATCACATTCTTATCTTTGGTTTTCTCCACAGAGAAAAGACACAGTGCTTCAATAATATCTTTGGCAGAGGTAAATATCAACATAATCTTGCACACAATAACGTTTTGATGTCCTGCCAAATGACACTGAATGAAACAGATCTACAGTTAAAGAGTCCATATGGTTTTTGCGCTGCTTGCTACTTTCCAGCAACTTTCCAGCAATATCAGGGAGGAAGGAACCAACTGTAGAAAATCAAGCCCAGGACCTTTTCCACAAAGTGATCTAAGCGCTACATCTGTCACAAGTCTATGTTTCAGTATAGAATTAATGGTTACATTAGCACTAAGATCACTTTGTGGAACAGGCCACTGGTCTTCAGCATGGTGCTTTCAAAGAAATACACACTGTTCTTGAGGCTCGTATATGATACCCAAATACTTTACTAGACAACATAACAATTCTTGTACCAAACAAGAAATGCTCTAACAGCACAATAAATAATCATCTGGCTCATGCTGTCCATACTTCATCTCATGAATTGTTTGATAGGCATTACTTAGAAGTTGATGGATGACAAGGTAGACACAATTTTAGGGATAACAACTTCTTTAATATTTTAAAGAGTGATGTTTTGGTATAGATCCTTATACCGTTGTCAAGCAAGACTGGTGGTTGTCATCTCCTGGTGTACAAGACCATTTGACTCACTTTCTGAAACATCCTCAACATTCATACATTTGGAAGTTTCATAAGTGATCACACATTACAACACAGTACCTAATTCATTTATGGGCGGCAGGGTAGTCTAGTGGTTAAAGTGTAACACCAAAGGCCAGGATTCGATTCCCCACATCAATTCCCCAATGTGTGAAGCCCATTTCTGGTGTCCCCTGCCACAATATTGCTGGAATATTGCTAAAAGTAGCATAAATACTCACCACACCATACTCACACTAATTCAATTAATATTGATATGTTCTTGAAATAAATATCATAACCACAAAATCCATTTTACCTCGTGGATTATTTACATTAATCTAGCACTTATGATAACAAAATGTACCCCTTGTTTTCTAAAAAGCCATCCATGCTTCAAATCTTATATAATCAGTAGTGACAAGTGAACTCCTAATGTTACACAGGCTGGGTGTTGTTTCTGACCTGATTTCATCCACGCCCTGGTCCCAGATCTTGTGGAAGCTGAGGATGAGGTTGAGGACCTTGAGCACAGCCTCCCTGAGGAAGGCCACCTTGGGGTGCAGCAGGCAGCGCTCGTGGATCTTGCTCACATAGCTGTTGTGGGCAGCAATGATCTGGTCCAGGTCCACACTGGCCTCAATGTCACTCTGGAACTCAAGCCCCGTGCTCTGCAAGATCTGCCATGGAGGAGAGGCAATCAAACCATATAAACAGTCCATACATAGCTTGTACAGTGTAACAGTCACTATTCAGCTGGTCCAGAGACTAGTGAAAGTACAGGACTACAGTAGGGCTGGGAAGAGTTCAATTTTACTACCCGGGTACCCAACCCCCTATTACCCGACCCTACCCGGGTACCCACTGTAGGTCTCAGGAGATGTCTCAAAATGTCCCATTGGGAACATTTTTGGCATAGCCCTGGCAAAACGTATTTAGATAAATGTATTAAACAATCTGGTCATTCATACACTGAAGTTGAATTAAGTTTATTCAACCATATGAAAAATCAGTAGGAATGGGTGCACAGTCAGAAAGAAATGCGAACATTAGTAACTTGTAGTGTAACCATAGAGTTCTAGATTTTTTTTTCATTAAACAATATATCACTTGACTAACCACGGGTCCAGGTAGTCTTGTGGGTACCCGGGTCCTAGTCAGTACCCACCCGACCCGGGAACACGAGTTACCCGTCCCAGCCCTAGACTACATGTACTACATTTATGCAGGAGTCGAGGTGTAAGACCGTCCCTGGTCTGCTAGTCAACAAGTGAAGACTTTAACCATTAGGCTACCACGCCACTCTGAAACAGTGCAGTAGCCTGACCCAAGTAATGATGTGAGATTAAAATGTTGATGAAATAGCCACCACACCAACTGTTAACCTCCAGGCTCCCAACAACCCTGAAAATCCGACTGCAGAAGACTGACCCTGGTCATGATGTAGTTGTGGAGACTGTTGACGAAGTAGAGGAGGCGGAACCTCAGCAGCTGCATGCGGTGTATGCGAGTGTTACGTGTCGTATCCTCCTCCTCGTACTGAGACAGGTGGATGCTCTTCAAGATGTCTTCCTTCTGCAGATCTGAAACAATACTTGTTTGTATTTAACGCCACAATTAGGAATATTCCTGACTATTTATCATCAGCTTGTGAATAAAAAGAATCAAACTTGTGACTTAACAAATGTTTGACATCCAATGCTATCAGGTACAAGGACAAAATCAGCCACCCGATCCATTTTCGTGGCTTCTTACGACAAGCTACAGGGTACTCAAGTCCCCACAGGGTACTGTAATAACAGGCAGACAGCCTTTAGCTAAGATTACTTATAATATGATATTACTTATATAGATATTACATGCTACTATATCTTCTGATTTTCATTATTGAAGTGTACATACACATAGCAAGAAAGGTTTTGGTATATACCACAGGTTTGTGTTTGGTATATACCACAGGTTTGTGTGTGTGTGTGTGCTGTTTAACACCGTATTCGGCAATCTTCCACCTATATGGCGGCAGTCTGTAAATATTTGAGTCTGGACCAGAAAATTCAGTGCTTGAAATCATGAGTATCGATCTACGCATTTGGGTATACAATGACATGCAATCAACTAAGTCAGCGAGCCTGACCATCCAATCCCATTAGTCGCCTCTTACGACAAGCATAGTTGCCTCTAATGACAAGCATGGGTTGCTGAAGACCTATTCTAACCCGTATCTTCACTGGTATTTACCACAGGCATGGTGCTGAGGTACTAAGGATGATTACATACAAAAGCCAACATGGTGAGACCAGCATGCACTGACTTTGTACAGAAGCCACCACGGTGAGACCAGCATGCACTGATTACGTACAGAAGCCACCACGGTGAGACCAGCATGCACTGACTACGTACAGAAGCCACCACGGTGAGACCAGCATGCACTGATTACGTACAGAAGCCACCACGGCGAGACCAGCGTGCACTGACTACGTACAGAAGCCACCAGGGTGAGACCAGCATGCACTGACTACGTACAGAAGCCACCACAGTGAGACCAGCATGCACTGATTACGTACAGAAGCCACCACGGTGAGACCAGCATGCACTGACTACGTACAGAAGCCAACACGGTGAGACCAGCATGCACTGACTACTTACAGAAGCCACCACGGTGAGACCAGCATGCACTGACTACGTACAGAAGCCACCACGGGGAGACCAGCATGCACTGACTACGTACAGAAGCCACCACGGGGAGACCAGCATGCACTGACTACGTACAGAAGCCACCATGGTGAGACCAGCATGCACTGACTACGTACAGAAGCCACCACGGCGAGACCAGCATGCACTGACTACGTACAGAAGCCACCATGGTGAGACCAGCATGCACTGACTACGTACAGAAGCCACCACAGTGAGACCAGCATGCACTGACTACGTACAGAAGCCACCACGGTGAGACCAGCATGCACTGACTACGTACAGAAGCCACCACGGGGAGACCAGCATGCACTGACTACGTACAGAAGCCACCACGGGGAGACCAGCATGTACAGACTACGTACAGAAGCCACCATGGGGAGACCAGCATGTACAGACTACGTACAGAAGCCACCATGGGGAGACCAGCATGCACTGACTACGTACAGAAGCCACCACGGGGAGACCAGCATGCACTGACTACGTACAGAAGCCACCATGGGGAGACCAGCATGTACAGACTACGTACAGAAGCCACCATGGGGAGACCAGCATGTACAGACTACGTACAGAAGCCACCACGGGGAGACCAGCATGTACAGACTACGTACAGAAGCCACCACGGGGAGACCAGCATGTACGGACTACGTACCGAAGAAGCGGAGCTGTTCTAGGCAGTACTTAGCTCGCTTCACTTGTAGGAGGAAGGAGAAGATCTGGTTGTAGATATCCTGACTCCGGGAGCTTATCACCAGGTCAACTGGCCAGGGAACCTGTATACACACAATACATAATAACACTAGCAGTAAGCAACAATCCTATGATAAGTAACAACCCAACAGTAAGCAACAATCCTATGATAAGTAACAACCCCACAGTAAGCAACAATCCTATGATAAGTAACAACCCAACAGTAAGCAACAATCCTATGATAAGTAACAACCCAACAGTAAGCAACAATCCTATGATAAGTACAACCCAACAGTAAGTAACAATCCTATGATAAGTAACAACCCAACAGTAAGTAACAATCCTATGATAAGTAACAACCCAACAGTAAGCAACAATCCTATGATAAGTAACAACCCAACAGTAAGCAACAATCCTATGATAAGTAACAACCCAACAGTAAGCAACAATCCTATGATAAGTAACAACCCAACAGTAAGCAACAATCCTATGATAAGTAACAACCCAACAGTAAGCAACAATCCTATGATAAGTAACAACCCAACAGTAAGCAACAATCCTATGATAAGTAACAACCCAACAGTAAGTAACAATCCTATGATAAGTAACAATTATCCCAGTAACAAGGTAAAAAGTGAGCAGGGCACACTTATGCCCCCGGCTTCGACTCCATCATATTTTTAAGTTTAAAACATGAAAAAAAGAAATATTTTCTGAGAAAATCCACTCATTGAAATCAAACTTTGCACTGCAACTCTCTTATGGATATAGAAACGACACCCCAAAAGGATGTAGTAGTTTTCATGTTATAGGTCGCACAATGTCGAAGTTAAAATAATTCAGAGTTCAAAACATGAAAAAAATCATATTTGTTCAGAAAATAAACATATCAAAATCAAACTTTGCATTGCAAGTCTCCTATTAGTATAGAAACTGTTCCTTAAATTAGAAAAGAATCCATGAAGTCGTTCCCAAGTTATAGCACAAATGTTGAAGTAAAACAAACATTCTAAGTTTCAAAAATTCCTATTTTCTCAGAAAAATCTGCGTATCAAATTCAAACTTTGCACTGCATTTCTTCTATTAGTATGGAAACTGTTCACTAAATTTGAAAAGAACCCTGGTTTTCAAGTGTTAGATCACACAAATGTTCACGTAAAAGAAATAGCTGTATTTTTTCGGAAAATCCAAATATTGAAATCAAACTTCACACTGCACCTCTCCTAATGGTATATAAAGTGTTCGCCAAGTCTGAAAAGAATCTATGCAGCAGTTTACAAGTAAGAGGTCACACAAAAAAAATGTCCTCGGAAAAGACTGATGGTTGGACGGACAGACCTGGTATAACTACATAACTCCTCCCTTTTAGGTCGGGGTATGACAATCCAGTAACAATCCCATAAGTAACAATCACATGATAATTAACATCCCAGTAAGTAGCAATCATACCGCACCTGACTTAGTAATGATTTTAACAGAAACAAAGTCAGGTACATTCCCTTGTGGGTACATCTGGTGGAACTTCTTACAGTTGGTATGCTGCCTGGGTACTGAAAAACCAGTACTCAGTCTACATGCTGAATAAAACTAGCATTGAGGAGGCAACAGGTCTGACTAAACCTTCAGCAGCCAAGTCGGACATCTCACCTCGTATGACAGCTTGATACAGTCAGTGACACTTATAGGAAACTTCTCCTGAACACTAGGAACCTCCACAGTAATGCTGAGTCTGAAACATGATACTTCCATCAAAATAACCATCTAATTAAAATCAGACATTTTACTCCATGACGATACCTCTTTGTATCACGAACTGAGGACACTTCCAAAGAAGGTTGAATCATATAAAACTGAGTGCACTTTCACCTCCCTATCTAAATGAAGGATCATATTGTTTGACTCTCATCATGATATAAGAATACGAACAGACTAAAAGATGTCGTACTTAAAATATTTAAGGGACTTTACAAATATGACGAGAAGGAGTCCACTTAGAAGAGATCATGTCTGCATCCAATGATATCAAGGCCCACCTACTAATGACAGAAAGTGAATTGTATTTGCTACAATCATCTTATTATCATGTTGATTAAACTTCCACTTTCAGTCTGCCACTTCGGTTTGACAGTTTCAATATTCACAAGTTAGGGGTGAGTGAGTGAGTTGGGTTTAATGCCGCTTTTAACATTATCCAGTTATATCACAGCATGTCAGCTTAATGTGGGAGGAAAGCCCGAAGTGATGCAGGTCTCAGACGTTTACCACTTTGGTGAAACCCAAGGGTACAGTGCTGACAAATCTCGAAACATAATTGAGGTGAACCAGGATTTGAACCACAATCATAGGTTTCTGGCATGCCCAAGGGACACAACTCTGCACAGTGAACTGCCGTGCCTTAGACGACTAGGCCACTCCTACCCCCAGTAAGTTAGGAGCGTCAGTTTTTTACATTATCATGCTTGATATAACATACCACTCAACATTTGCTAAGGAACACTCCTTTGACTAAAGATGACTTCTGGTCCTCAGAAAATGTTGAGTAGTACATGAACTCGGTTCCACACATCGAATCAGATAATCTCCTGCTATGGGGCTTGTACAGAGTACCTTTACTCTTGACACAGGTATGTAATATCTACTATGTATTACAATGTATGAATCAGTTCATGTTTCTTTGAATGCTAGATATTAGTGATGAGTCTTGGTCTGACTTTGTTATTACAATTATGACAATACTGATTCATGTATTGTGATCCATACCACAATATATTGCATGCATTCCTTCACCTGTAATTTGTAACAACCTGAATCATAATAACCCAAATGAAAACCTCGTAGTCAGCCACCACTTCTTGTACTTTGCTATGGTCACAATGCGTGCGTAATAGACAAATTATATAAAGGAAGCTGGATGTGATAGTTTCGCATTTTCGATCACAGGAATCAGTATTATTTCAATTCGACTTGTCACTTATGCACACTTTGCCAACCAAACAAAAATATGTATGATTTTGAAAAACTGAATACATTGGTATTTTCTAAACGTATTGAGTTTGTATTTCAAATCATGGAGTACTGGTCATACTATATATCTTTACTAGATATTGACTCTAAATATCATAATTAAGTTCTTATTTACCTATTGATATAAAAAGCATAAAAAGTGACGTGGCATAAATGTAAAAAAAACATACTTATCCTAAGCTCTGATATAGTTCAGTACTAAGCAATATTCCTCAACATGACATGTAACTGACAATCCCACATTTACATCTTTGATTGTGAATGTATTTAAGTGATAATGAGACTATATTGCCTGGGTCTGACCTGTTTGTCTCGTCGGGGTAGAGGGCGTACATGGCCTCGTGTAGGACCAGATTCAGCACGGAGAGGTCCCTCCACTGCTCCATGTTCTTCATCTGTCAGAAACAAGTCAACTTGAAGCACTGGCCGGTCCAGATGAGTGTGAGTGAGTGAGTATGGTTTTACGCCGCCTTTAGCAATATTCCAGCAATATCACGGCAGGGGTTACCAGAAATTGGCGTCACACATTGTCGAAAAACGAACCCGGTTCTTCGGCGTGACGAGCAAACGCTTTAACCACTAGGCTACCCGACCGCCCCCAAGTCCAGATAAGGTGAATGTATTCACTTATATAGAAACGCTCTGCATGCACATGTGTGTGTGTGACTGCTTGTACTAATCTGGACTTCATAATGCTAGCCAACTGAGATACCATGCCAATATACATGGATACCTGACTCCGACACATTACACTGACTCTGAGGTGATTAGTCCATGTTTCATCCCCTTAATGCTGAACGCCAGGCAGGGTAACAACAAGTACCATATTTTAACTTCTTTTGTTATGACCGGCCAGGGGATCCAACCAGACTTTCCTCTCTCCAGGCAGATTCTATCCACTACATAACAGAGGCAGACTAGAGAGTCCAGGAATTCATATCTGATTGGAGTACGTCTCAGTTGCATAGTCGTATTTAGCTATAATTGTACTGTTTATGTGTTTAAGTGGAATTTGTCATAACAACGACAAAATATCAACATAAAAGAAAAGAGTCTTAGAAACTGGTTTGTAAATGTCTTTTAAAACGTGTTTACAAACATTGAAGAACCACACAACATGATGTGCTTCTGTCTTCGATCTTGAACGTTAATATCTTTACAGCTAAGGACATAACTCCTGCGATAATCTCTCTAATCAGGACTACCTGCAGTCCCACATATAATCCATGAGAAGCAATCTCGCATGCTGAAAAAGTTTACATATTCACTGGAGTTGAGTGAGTGAGTAACAGAGTGAATGCAGTTTAATACTACTGTGATCAATATTCTATCAATATCAAGGTAGCCTGTACAGAATCGTGTCTTGGCCAGACAAATACTTCCATCCAGGCCATCATGGTACACACAGGCAGTCAGATTCACACAGTGTTGCTCTTGGACACTTGGGCCCAAGCCAGGGTAGGAGAATGAGTGAGCTGGGTTTTAACTCTGCTTTTAACAGTATTCCAGTGATATCGTGGGAGGAAAGCACGAAGTCATGCAGGTCTCAGACGGTTTACCACTTCATTGAAACCCACGAACACGGGTATGGTGCTGACAAACCTAGAAACATAATCGGGCGAACCGGGAATCGAACCCACAATCCTAGGTTTCTGGCGTGCCCAAGGGACGCAACTCTGCACTGCGACTGGGCCTTAGACGGTCTAACTGGGCCACCCATGCCCCCTCCAGGGAGGGAGAAGAGAGACAACTGTGGCTCCACCAGTTCTGACTGGGCAGACTGAACAACAAATGAGGAAGCTGGGACTTTTTTGAGTGGAGTTGACAGACAAAGGGACGCTTGATAAACTGCTGATGTAATGACTGTTTCTCCAAAAGGGTACAATACAACACCATCTTGAAAATTATAATATGCTGGACAACCTAGAGCCTAACACCGATCTTAACAGCATTCCAGTAACATCACATTGTGTTTGATGTGGGAATAAAAACACACTGAAGAAAAGAATGAGGCTAAACAAGATAATGAACATGACTCTGGAATTCAAGCCACAAGTAGCAGATCCTGGCAACAAAGGGACACAACTCTGCTCAGTCTTGAACCACCCATGCCACCCCTATATGACACTAGTAATGTTTTAGTATGTTGAGGTAAGATGGTATACTCACTCTGTCAAATATGTTGGTGTAAAAGTTGAACATAGTGTCGCCCGCCTCCATCAAGAAAAACTTCTGCAACAACAAAGACGACATACTGATGCATCAGTACAACACAGAAAACAAGACATCACCACAACTGTCAAAAACCAAAAACATTTTCAAAAAACATTTCAGTGCTGACTTAGGACACTGACTTATCATAAACTATTCTATTGTTGTCATGTTCTGCTCTGCCTTTACCATCCGACATTCACTCGTAGCCAATACATATCTCTCACAGTTACCCTATTGTGGCAGTGTATATATCCCCATTTCCCAAAATAATATCTTTAAGTACACCAAAATATCTCAAAAGTAAATGTTTTTTTGTTTCAAATTTCACAATCACTGATCCCATATAATAATCAATGTCCACAATCACAGATCCTCTATCACCTGTCTCACCCCCACCAGGGTCAACAGCCATCTGACTCATCTCCCAAAGGATCAACAGCCATCTGACTCACCCCAACCAGCCATCTGCCTCACCCCAACCCAGGACCAACAGCCATCTGACACCCCAACCTAGGACCAACAGCCAACTGACACCCCAACCCAGGACTAACAGCCATCTGCCTCACCCCAACCCAGGACCAACAGCCATCTGACAACCCAACCATGGACCAACAGCCATCTGACTCACCCCAACCCAGGACCAACAGCCATCTGACTCACGCCCACCTAGATCAACACCTATCTGACTCACCAACCAGTCCTCTGCCTCAACCCCACCAGGACCAACAGCCATCTGGCTCACCCCCATCAGGACCAACAGCCATCTGCCTCACCCCCACGAGGTATGGTGTCATCTGCCTCACCCCAAACTAGGAGTTTCTCTTCTGCCCCACCCCCTGTAAGTTGGCACTCACCCTCATGGCAGTGAGGAAGTCCATGAGGCGATACTTCTCTTTCAGGATGCGGACCAGTTCGGAACAAACCACGTGGTACCTGCGTAGTATGTGTGGGTACAGACACTCCTGGAGCAGCATCTCAACTGGCTGCAGGTTCTCAGACTTTAGGCCCCGCAGCAACCTACCACAGCCAAGGGTCACAGATGATGCCACAAAGTGGTAAATGATAACAAGCAATTGAGTTAGTTTCTTAACATGACAAGCACAGTATTGGTAAAAATCTATGGCCCAAAGTCTTAAAGCAAAAGTCTTCTGGCACTTGCAGTAGGTGTTCAATTTCAGAACAGAGAGATCTAGATGGCTTATATTGAAGGCAAAAGTTCCACCAGATACAGCCAGACTGATTCATTGAATCCTCACAAAGTATTTCAAATTTAAATGCACTTTGCATCAATAAACCTACTACAAAGTATATCTCCTGATCATTTTTAGATTTCTAACCACATGCTCTCCCTCATAGGATTCCAAACCAAATGGGAGCAAAATTGGAAAAATATTGTGATATTGTTCAAATAAGGATTTTTTTACTGTTTTCAGTTTTGTAAATACTGAGGAAATGGGATTTTGTTTTCAAATTGGGAATGTTTACTGTAATTTGCTGCCAACTTGGGACTGAATATCAGCCTCTGAGCAGGTCTAGATAAATCCCTGCCCTCACCTCAACTCCCTGTCCTCCTCTGATTCAACTGGGCCCACGTGCAGATGGCTGAACACAGCCTCAAAGTTGATCCTCAACAGAGGGTCATAGACTCCCAGCCCCCTCAGCTGTTGCTCGATCTGAGCAGTCAGGACTGGAGTAGACACAGTTGTCACCTTTCTCCCACCTTCTGATTTACCAGCTGTTGGTGACTTGGTCCCAAGGGTCTGCTCCAGGGATTTCATAAATGTGTCATACAGTGAATCTGGTTTACCTGTAGAATATAATAAATATATATTTGTTAATTTTACATTAAATTGTATGGTGATATCCTTATCCTATCTCACACTATGCATTTCTTTCTTCTTCTTTCGATCCTATGTGGAAACATGCTTGAACAAAGTTTCGATCACGAGTGCGACCTGGCAAACTGGAAGGACGATCCTCCGACTGTCGAACATGAGGTGAGCGATCCTTTGAGCGCTGATCCTGTGATCAACTTTTCTGGGAATGTTGACCCTTGGAAGAAGCGTGAGTCATGTTGCGAGTTCCTAGATTTCAAGCGCCGTACAACTTCCCGTCTGTGGCACTTGTGTAGATACATGTTGAAGGATTCTTCTGTAAGATGGGCACCAAGGGAACAATGCTTGTTAATACTGCATTGACCACGACAGTCACAGCAAGTTGAAAAGTTAGTTCTACTCTCCAGACAGGCCACAATGTGGCGATGAAAAAGAGAGTGATGTGGCAGGGGATTCATGTGATCAGGTCGTGTAGGTAGCTTTGCACGGGTTTACTGTGGGTGACCCATTTGTTTGGGTGGTGACCATGGTGGTGCGGGGATGTGTTCGGCTGATTTGTTTTTAGGAGCTGGAAGCTTTGTTCAAGCACATTTCCACATGTGAAGAAATGCAAAGTGTGAGATATACTAGAAAAAATATACTATTCAATAAACCTAAAGTTAATGCCATTTTAATATCAATTGATAATTTGAACACTCAAGATTCTGCTTTCAATCACCTGTATACCTTTGATGGTATGAGTTTTATGAGTTAATGAGTGAATGAGAGAGTTTTATGAGTGAGTTAATTTATATTATGAGTTTTATGAATTTTATGAGTGAGTTTTATGAGTGAGTGAGTGAGTTTTTATGAGTTTAATGAGTTTTATGAGCGAGCAAGCTTGGCCATACATCAACAAAATGTCCTCTCAAACAATACCAGAAAAATCACTTATCTCCTTAACCAAACCAGGGACATACTATTTCCTAGACACATACCATCTCTATTCCCTATGACTTGAAATAATTGTCCCAAGTGTTCAAGCACTTCCATGGATTTTCCTGTCAAGACGATATCCTTGACAACTGGCTGCAGGAACTTGGGAGCCCAGGCTGTTGCCACAGCAACCTGCTCATGCTCCGGAAACTGGGCAATAGTTGTGCTGAGCACACTGGAGTTTGTTGTACTCTTTGGCATGTGGAGCACGAAAGCATTCTCCCAAAAGGTCTCATCAACTGACTTCACATTGTCATTTCTGTAAGAAAGTAATCACATGTAAGTTCCTCCATTTGACTTAGTTTAGGTTGTCTGCTAGTATAAAACCTTTGTCCATCAAGGTGCTTTTACCAAACATTTTAAGCCAATCTATCACCGATAGGACACTTTGTCAAACGAAAATTAGATAATACACATTTATGACCAGTCAAGGATGTTTATGGCAAAGATGAATGGCAGTAGCAAAACACTGTTCTGTAAACTATGAGATCATTTCACATTATTATTTTGCATGGCATCATGGCACTTCATGACATCGTCAATGGAATATTGCTGCACATTAGACATTGAGGAAAATATCTAAATACACATCCTGATCTTTTTCATCTAGTACATACGTAGTATCAGTGTTATGAGCAGAAGGGCTCTCGAGACCTTTGCAAAGCAATGATAACCCCAAATTTGTTTCAAATTTAAGGCCGTCCAAAAAAGGCCGGACCTTAAAGGCTGATTCAATTTTTTCAAGGACAGACTGGGAAAGTCAATGCTGTTTGATGCTTATGTGAGCATTGTATCGGCACTCAGTGACTGTGGTCACCATTCCCTCTGTGCCCTCTGGTGACCAGCGTGTACAGGGAACATGTTCCACCTGGGTGTGCCGGCTACTTGCCTCTGAACAACAAACTCATTCATTGGGTCATCCAGGTGGCCGTTGTTGATCCAGTCTCCGATGATCTGCAGATACGGCTGAGACGTCTGCATCCACATCGGCAGTAACAGCATAATCTGCAATATACACATCACCCAATCACAATGAATCCTTTCACCATTCAACATCATTAAAGATATAAGTTGAAATAGAAGTGAAAAATATCCAGCTTGAGTGACTTTGAGTTGGGTGTAACGCCACTTTCAACAGTATGCAGTTATATGATGGCGTGTCAGCTTGATGTGGGAGCCTTGAACACCCTACAACCAGTGTCACCTACCATGTCCGGTGTGAACTCCCCCAGTGAGTCATACTGAGATTGGAGCCTTGAACACCCTACAACCAGTGTCACCTACCATGTCCGGTGTGAACTCCCCTAGTGAGTCATACTGAAATGGGAGCCTTGAACACCCTACAACCAGTGTCACCTACCATGTCCGGTGTGAACTCCCCCAGTGAGTCTTACTGAGATGGGAACTTGAACACCCTACAACCAGTGTCACCTACCATGTCTGGTGTGAACTCCCCTAGTGAGTCTCACTGAGATTGGAGCCTTGAACACCCTACAACCAGCGTCACCTACCATGTCCGGTGTGAACTCCCCTAGTGAGTCATACTGAGATGGGAGCCTTGAACACCCTACAACCAGTGTCACCTACCATGTCCGGTGTGAACTCCCCTAGTGTGTCATACTGAGATGGGAGCCTTGAACACCCTACAACCAGCATCACCTACCATGTCCGGTGTGAACTCCCCCAGTGAGTCATACTGAGATTGGAGCCTTGAACACCCTACAACCAGCGTCACCTACCATGTCCGGTGTGAACTCCCCTAGTGAGTCATACTGAGATGGGAGCCTTGAACACCCTACAACCAGTGTCGCCTACCATGTCCGGTGTGGACTCCCCTGGTGAGTCATACTGAGATTGGAGCCTTGAACACCCTACAACCAGCATCACCTACCATGTCCGGTGTGAACTCCCCTAGTGAGTCATACTGAGATTCGAGCCTTGAACACCCTACAACCAGTGTCACCTACCATGTCCGGTGTGAACTCCCCTAGTGAGTCATACTGAGATTCGAGCCTTGAACACCCTACAACCAGCATCACCTACCATGTCCGGTGTGAACTCCCCTAGTGAGTCATACTGAGATTGGAGCCTTGAACACCCTACAACCAGCGTCACCTACCATGTCCGGTGTGAACTCCCCAGGTGAGTCATACTAAGATGGGAGCTTTGAACACCCTACAACCAGTGTCGCCTACCATGTCCGGTGTGAACTCCCCTGGTGAGTCATACTGAGATTGGAGCCTTGAACACCCTACAACCAGTGTCACCTACCATGTCCGGTGTGAACTCCCCCAGTGAGTCATACTGAGATTGGAGCCTTGAACACCCTACAGCCAGTGTCACCTACCATGTCCGGTGTGAACTCCCCTAGTGAGTCATACTGAGATGGGAGCCTTGAACACCCTACAACCAGTGTCACCTACCATGTCCGGTGTGAACTCCCCTAGTGAGTCATACTCCAGCACAGTGTTGTACATGACACTGAGGAGATGGGAGGCCTTGAGACTGTTTGTGGGCAGACTGGCAGCGGCGGCCACACCATTAATATACAGGGAGTACACCAGGCCGATCTTCTGACTCCATGCTTGCAGCTCCACCGACATCATCGACAGAGTCATGACCTCTTCTGGGAACAAAACCGCAATGGCTTTTCATTCAGGTGTTTCTGGATCATCTCACATAATCAAACATCGCAACTTTTCCATCAGAGCACATGTAATTCAACAAGTAATAAAACAGGTCTGAAATGCTCTAACTGAAATTCAACAGACTTTAATGGAACTTAACTCCTCGAAAAGCCACATACACAAGATCTCCATGACTATACAGTTAAGTCTCGTTAATCCCACACTCATTAATCCGACAATCGGCTTTACCCGACCGTGATGATGGGAACTGATCAAATCAGTGCTATTTAGACCCGTTAATCCGACAGTCTCCGACACATATAATTTGCAACAAATTACCGAAATCACTCATTAATCAGTCTCGTTAATCCGACACAGTGATCAGCATACTCTGCAGTCATCTGATTCCCCAAAATCATGTCCACTTACCATTTCTTATAATCCTTTTCTCTAGACCCGAGAGGTAAGTTTGTAAGTCCTGCAGAAACTGAGACACTGTTTTAGTGAAAGCTTGGTAGGTCATGGGTACTCCGGTGAGGTCGTTACCAAGGCAACTTTGTGACACAATCTCCTGAACGAAGGTCTGCAGAACCTGAACATGGCCCCCATGCCTGCAGAACGGCTGAACAAAACTCTCAACACACTCCTGAAAGGGGGACAACTTCAGCTAGAGAATGCAGATGGGGAGACCCCACTGAGTGGCTTTGTAATCATCTAATTACGATCTATTACGATAGCTATGGTACACTGGCTAAAACTAACATGCTAGTGCTAAGTTCCCTGTCATAAATACTCTTTTATAAGTATATATTTGTTGTATATGAGATGACCATGGTCACAGGGAAATAAGGTTACACTTGTCATGGATTTGTTTGTTTGTTTGTTTGTTGTTTAACACAGCACTCAGCAATCTTCCAGCTATATGATGGCGGTCTGTAAATAATCGAGTCTGGACCAGACAATCCAGTGATTGACATCAGGAACATCGATCTACACAATTCGGATACAATGACATACATCAACCATGTCAGTGAGTATGACCACCCGATCCCATTAGTCGCCTTCTACGGTAAGCATGGGTTGCTGAAGACCTGTTCTCTACCTGGATCTTCACAGGTCACTTGAATTGAAAGTTAAAAGCACTTCTAGAAGCTGTACACTGGCCTTAGTGAGATGAGACACAGAGATGTCATCGCGGAGAGTGAAGCGGCCTCTTTTGTGGAGGAAGATAAACAGGTCCGAGACACCAGACAGCATCCTGCCAACAAAGCCAATCATGTAATGCCAAACATGTGAAGTCAATCATGTAATGTCAATCATGTCAAGAATCATGCAATGTCAATGTCAATCATGTAAATAATCATGTAATGTCAATCATGTCAATAATCATGTAATGTCAAACATGTCAAGCATGTCAATAATCATGCAATGTCAATGCTTAACATGTCAAGAATCATGAAATGTCAGTGTCAATCATGTAATATCAAACATGTCAATAATCAAGTAATGTCAATGTCAAATATCTCAAGAACCATGTAATGTGAATGTCAAACCTGTCCAAAATCATGCAGTGCCAAACCTGTCAAGAATCATGTAATGCCAATGTCAAACACATCAAGAATCATGTAATGTCAAACATGTCAAGAATCATGTAATGTCAAACATGTCAAAAATGTCAAGAATCATGTAATGTCAAACATGTCAAGAATCATGTAATGTCAAACATGTCAAGAATCATGTAATGTCAAACACGTTAAGAATCATGTAATGTCAAACATGTCAAGAATCATGTAGTGTCAAACATGTCAAGAATCATGTAATGTCAAACATGTCAAGAATCATGTAATGTCAAACATGTCAAGCATGTCAATAATCATGTAAGGTCAAACATGTCAAGAATCAACTAATGCCAATGTCAAACATGTCAAGAATCATGTAATGTCAAACATGTCGAGAATCATGTAATGTCAGTCATGTCAAGAACCATGTAATGCCAGTCATGTCAAACATGGCAAAAATCATGTAACGCCAATGTCAAACATGTCAAGAATCATATAATGTCAAACATGTCAAGAAGCATGTAATGTCAAACATGTCAAGAATCATGTAATGTCAAACATGTCAAAAATGTCAAGAATCATATAATGTCAAACATGTCAAGAAGCATGTAATGTCAAACATGTCAAGAATCATGTAATGTCAAACAAGTCAAGAATCATGTAATGTCAAACATGTCAAGAATCATGTAATGTCAAACATGTTAAGAATCATATAATGTCAAACATGTCAAGAATCATGTAAGGTCAAACATGTCAAGAATCAACTAATGCCTATGTCAAACATGTAAAGAATCATGTAATGTCAAACATGTCAAGAATCATGTAATGTCAGTCATGTCAAGAATCATGTAATGCCAGTCATGTCAAGAATCATGTAATGCCAGCCATGTCAAACATGGCAAGAATCATGTAACGCCAATGTCAAACATGTCAAGAATCATATAATGTCAAACATGTCAAGAAGCATGTAATGTCAAAGATGTCAAGAAACATGTAATGTCAATGTCAAACATGTCAAGAAACATGTAATGCCAATGTCAAACATGTCAAGAATCATGCAGTGCCAAACCTGTCAAGAATCATGTAATGCCAATGTCAAACACATCAAGAATCATGTAATGTCAAACATGTCAAGAATCATGTAAGGTCAAACATGTCAAGAATCAACTAATGCCTATGTCAAACATGTAAAGAATCATGTAATGTCAAACATGTCAAGAATCATGTAATGTCAGTCATGTCAAGAATCATGTAATGCCAGTCATGTCAAGAATCATGTAATGCCAGCCATGTCAAACATGGCAAGAATCATGTAACGCCAATGTCAAACATGTCAAGAATCATATAATGTCAAACATGTCAAGAAGCATGTAATGTCAAAGATGTCAAGAAACATGTAATGTCAATGTCAAACATGTCAAGAAACATGTAATGCCAATGTCAAACATGTCAAGAATCATGCAGTGCCAAACCTGTCAAGAATCATGTAATGCCAATGTCAAACACATCAAGAATCATGTAATGTCAAACATGTCAAGAATCATGTAATGTCAAACATGTCAAAAATGTCAAGAATCATGTACAGTCAAACATGTCAAGAATCATGTAATGTCAAACATTTCAAGAATCATGTAATGCCTATGTCAAACATGTCAAGAATCATGTAATGCCAATGTCAAACATGTCAAGAATCATGTAATGTCAATGTCAAACATCTCAAGAATCATGTAATGTCAAACATGTCGAGAATCATATAATGCCAATGTCAAACATCTCAAGAATCATTTTATGTCAAACATGTCAAGAATCATGTAATGTCAGTCATGTCAAACATGTCAAGAATCATGTAATGCCAATGTCAAACATGTCAAGAATCATGTAATGTCAAACATGTCAAGAATCATGTAATGTCAAACATGTTAAGAATCATGTAATATCAAACATGTCAAGAATCATGTAAGGTCAAACATGTCAAGAATCATGTAATGCCAATGTCAATCATGTCAAGAGAATCGTGCAATGTCAATCATGCCAAAAAGATTATGGTTTTAAACAGATTTTGATGTGATACAAGTTTTTGTCATTTTGTATTATTATTATTATTATTTGCCATGTGAAGAGATGTCATCATCATGTACATAAGTAGAAAGGGACAAGGTGGTGTTTTAAGTATAAAGGAGACTAACATACCATTTTACCTATATGAACATGATGTGACTTCCCAACACATCCCGACACGCTGCTGACATGCATGTGTCTACAACTCACCACAACACCTCTCTCAAGACCTGGATCTCCGTGACGAAGGTGCGGCCCCCTTCACAGTACAGGGGGTTGGTGCGGGTCTTGTAGGACTCCCTTAAATGGAAAAAAAACAACAGATCAACATCACAAATATTTTGCATTTCAGCTAAGGAACACTTTTGACACGACGACACCTAATCAAATATCTGAATTGAAAGCATATTGCTAATTCTTGTAGACTAGATTCAGTGGCAATAGAGAGTGAGTGATTATGGTTTTACAGCACTTTTAGCAATATTCCACAGTGGGGGGACACAAGAAATAGGCTTCACACATTATACCCATATGGCGAATTGAACCTGGACTTTCGGTGTGACAGGTGAACGCCTTAACCACTAGGTTACCCTACAGCCCTTCAGGGGCTATAGAAACAATGAGCGAGCAATGGCGTTTTTCACTTCTGTCAACAATATTACAGCCATATCACGACAGGAGGTACAAAATCTGGGTTGAAACAATGTGCACAGATTCCTGCAGCCGGGGCACTAACAGACAGGTTACATATTGCAACAGAGCTGCAGATAAGCAGCGTATTTGTGTAAAATATTAACTTGCGTACAGAAACGCATGCATTAAACATGCTAAATGAAAAACTCAAATGTATAAAAAAAGCCTATATATTTAGAACAGATATCGTGGTTATATATACATCTAAAAAATTATTTCATTTTTTTTAATCTTAAAACTGGTCTCTCTTTTGGGGCAAAACCAAATAGAGTGATGAATAGATGAGTGAAAACATATTGGTTACCAATTGAAAAAAGTGATAACCCAATTAAAATAGATACCCTAGAGTAAAAACTCAATTGCTCAAAAATGTTGTCTGGAACGCTGTTGAAACCACCCAATACCCGTTATGACACCTGGGGCATTTGGGTCCTGCATCCCAAAAACATGGACATGAAGACATCAATTTATGACTGAAGTATAATTAACCGATGCAACAGTGCCATACAAGGGAAAACCTACCAATCTCTGGCTAAGTTGGAACTGAAATGGTTGTCTATAGTATCCTCTTCACGACTCATTCCTTTCCAATACTGCACCACCAGATTTTTCATCAACCAATCGTATCCTTTGTCTTCCACCACATCAGACTCATGTGTAACCAGCATTGATGTATCATGTGTTGCCGTGACAACAGCAGACTGATTATCTACTGCATTATCTTGTGGTTGAGATCGTTCGTCCCCATCAGAATCAGACAAGCTCTCATCATCTGAGGGAATCTGCGAAAACATAAAAGCACATAAAGCACACTGTCGGAATGCACTCAGAGAACTGATCATTTCCTTCTTGAAATCACATTCTAAGGGCGAAACGATACACGTAAACTTCGATGCGTCTGATACCTGGCGTATCGACATAAATACCAAATTGTGACCAGTGTGTTGTATTGTGACCAGTCTATCGAGACACGTATCAAATTGTGACCAGTGTATTGTACTGTGACCAGTCTATCGAGATACATATCAAATTGTGACCAGTGTATTGTATTGTGACCAGTCTATCGAGATACGTATCATATTGTGACCAGTGTATTGTACTGTGACCAGTCTATCGAGATATGTATCATATTGTGACCAGTGTATTGTACTGTGACCAGTCTATCGAGATACATATCATATTGTGACCAGTGTATTGTACTGTGACCAGTCTATTGAGATATGTATCATATTGTGACCAGTGTATTGCACTGTGACCAGTCTATCAAGATACAAATCAAATTGTGACCAGTGTATCGAGACATGTATCATATTGTGACCAGTGTATTAAGTGAGTGAGTGAGTGAGTGAGTGAGTGAGTGAGTGAGTGAGTGAGTGAGTGAGCGAGCGAGCGAGCGAGTTGGGTTTAACCCTGCTTTTAACAGTATTCCAGTTATATCGTGGCGTGTCAGCTTAATGTGGGAGGAAAGTCCGAAGTGATGCAGGTCTCAGGCGTTTATCACTTTGGTGAAACCCACGAGCATGGGTATGGTGCTGACAAACCTAGAAACCCACAATCATAGGTTTCTGGCGTGTCCACGGGACGCAACTCTGCACAGCGAATCGCAGCGCCTTAGACGACTGGGCGACCAGTGTCCCTCCAGTGTATTAAGATACATATTTCACTGTGACCAGTGTATCGAGATACATATCTTCCGTATAACTGCACCAGTACTAGAATCACATTTTCCATTGGCCAAAAAGTAATAGGATGAGGGAGAGGTTGATTAAGTATGAATTTAGCAATATGAGTAAGTTTTTAGCAATATTTATCACAGCTCTACCAAGAAAAGGCTTCTTAACTGCACGAGTGATGATGCCAACCCGGAGGTTCAGCTTTACATGTCCATACAAGGTATTATTATTCCGGATAGTACAGACTCAGAGATTAATTTATTTCCCAGCGGGAAAGCAAAGGTAGTTACCGGAGAATCAGCATATCCTCCTCGATACACATCCTCTCCCTCCAACAGGTGACCAGACCAGTCAAAGTCATCTACAGGTTCTGAAATCAAAGCAAAGTTGTCTTGGTACAGTCTGCCCACTGTGTGTGTGTGTGTGTGTGTGTGTGTGTGTGTGTGTGTGTGTGTGTGTGTGTGTGTGTGTGTGTGTGTGTGTGTGTGTGTGTGTGTGTGTGTGTGTGTGTATATATGTATGTATGTATGTATGTATGTTTGTTGTTTAATGCCACACTCAGAAATATTCCAGCTATATGACGGCGGTCTGAAATAATCAAATCTGAACCAGACAATCCAGTGATTGACATCATGAGCATCGATCCACATGATTGGGATAAAATTACATGTATCAACCAAGTCAGCAAGCCTGCTGATCCCGATTCCATTAGTATCTTCTCACATCAAGCATTGGTCACTGAAGATCAATTCTAACCTGGATCTTCATGGGTACAAATAATAATAATAATAATCCATATTGCGAGGAATGATCCACCCCATCAGGGTACAATATCATGCAATCAACCAAGTCAATGAGCTTGACTCCTTATTTCCATTAAGTCACCTCTTTGAACCAGCATTGGTTGCTGAGGACCAATTCTAACTCAGAAACACCACAGGGGTTCCCACAATGTGAAAATGGAAACGTTATAGTTCAGATTCCATGCAAACATTCTTCGCTTACTGACTGAACAGTTAGTGACCGGAACCAATCCACAGAACATTGCAGAATGAGTTGCATTCCAGTTGTATTACTGCATCACGTCAATGTTGAAATGAGAGTGAATTGGGTTTAATGCAGCTTTGAACAGTATTCGAGTTACATCATGGCGTGTCAGCTTAACATGAGAGGAAAGCCTGAACTAATGCAGGTCTTAGACCCTTACAATTCTGGTGAAACCCATGAGCGGGTATGGAGCTGACAAACCTAGAAACAAAAACGGGGTGAACTGGAATTTGAACCCACAACCATAGGTTTCTAGTGTGCCCAAGTGACACAACGCAAATTGCGGCACCATAGACAAATGGGCCACCCGTGCCCCCAGTTTATGTTGGAGGAAAGCCCAAAGTAACCTAAGCTGAAGACATGATGCACAACTTTTGTGGAAGAAACAATCCCAAGGTATGGTGCCAACAAATTAAGTATTACCCGGGGCAGTGCAATACCCTCATGAGTACCACTGAAATGGTAAATGTCTGTAACCAGGAAGTGGGACTCACCATCTTCACGATGGGGCAGCGCGAGACTGAAGTCGGTGGCCGTGGGGTGGTCCGCCAACAGGAACAACAGGTAGAGGATGGAGTAGTGGGTGTCTGTCTGCAAGCAGTCAACAGTTACTATGGTTACTATATCACATAATAACATTTCGTTCTCTTCAGTAGCAACAAGATTAGAGTTTTTACACATGAATAAAAAAATGTTTGTTAAAATTATCATGACCCTGAAATTGGTATTTCACTTTTGACAGTAATGATGACTTCAATAAGGACTAGTATCAGAAGCAAGGGAAATCCCCTGATTGATAATACATCTATTCCAAATAGTAACACTGACAGGGTTGTGGTCACACTTTAAGGATCCACAGGGGTCCTTAAGAGTTGCTGAATTAGTATTTGAATATAGGGGCCCCTAAACATAGAGCTTTTAGCATTGGGGTTATGACAAGACTTTGATTTTCATGTATCATTTCTAACACTGGTACTACAGAAATGTACACCAGGTACTTGACTACAAAAATGTAACCCAGGTAATCAAATTACACACCATTAGAAATTGGCACTAGTCCTGTAGTCCTTGCCAAAAAGTTAAGGTATCACAAGGACGAGTAGACATTTGCCATTTTTAAGGGTTTTGCTATATGTTATCATTATTTGGACTAGTGGGCTAAAAATGTTAGTTTCTACCGCTGTTGCATATGTACCTTGCCGTCATTTTTGTCTTCAAATATTGGACTATTCAAGAAATCTTCAGTCAGCTGAGTCAGAGCTTTTGCTTTCTCAGTCTGTGAATGCACTTCCAGTTTTATGCGCATTCTGCAAATAACTGACATTAGCAAGGAAAAAGAAGACACAGAACAAGAAGAAATTCAATATGGTTTCTCTAGATGCTTGTAGCTCAAGGATATAGCTATTGCATATTGATTGATATATTAAAGGGGAAGTGTACACGCAAAAATCTCTTTCTTTCTTTTTCTAAACAAAACGCAATTTTAGAATTAGTTAATATCTGTGTTTGAAAATGTAAACTCATTTTTTTCACAGTGAAAGTAGGAAGCTCACAATAGTGTGAAAATGATATGCCGTTATGAGGCCTTCGTTTTTCGAGCTAAACAGGCCTGAGTTATCCCCCTTAGATTATGACGTAATTGGTGCCAATTCAACTGGATCCCTGTCTAGTCTCAACGCAAAAGATATCAAGTACCAGTTTTCGGTAAAACAACATGGCCTACCACACACTTCGGCGCAGTGGTGACTCAGCATAACACTATGCTGGCTGGCCTCTGAGACGCTAGAATCACACACCTGTACCTACACCACGTGAAGCGGCTCTAACATAGCATGATGACGTCATAATGTTTATCAATTGGCACCAATGACGTCATATTGCAAGGGGCATAAGCCATGGTGTTTTTGTTATGAAAATAGAACACTTGGTAAATGTGAAAAATATAAATCATTTTAATGCAAAACATATGTTAATTAATTGTGATATTTTTATATTTTTGTCTATGACACTACTAGGTTAACACTTTTAATGTGGAAAAAGTACAAGAAAAATAGGTTCATTTCCGTGTGAACTTGCCCTTTAATGTATCTATCTCTTTCTAAAATAATTGCATTAATACAGAATAAGCAATTATCAATATAATTCAACATTTGCCGAAATTAAACAACTTCAGAAGCTAGGACATTAAAGTACTTTAATTATCTTAACAACTGTATTAATAGAAACATAGGTAGACGCCTGGCTAAGATATATCATCATAAGCATGATAAAATATCACAAGTGAAATCATCAAAGATTTCCAGTATTGAGCACAAGTAGGTTCATTAAGTCATGTACATGTCCTTCAGTCAGTATCTAAAGTACCATGAAATCTTGATAGTCGAGACCCCATTATCCAGACAACTACTTCTCGGAAGCAACATTAATCAGGAAATTGTTAATCAAGAAATTTGTTAAAATAGGTGCTTCCAGCAGGTATGCTACTGGTTGGATTAACAGGGTTTCAGTGTCCATTGTCAGATACAGCAATAGTTGTATAGGTCTGGAGGAAAGGGTTATTACCCATCTAAGGCTCTGGTCACTTTATGACTGTCCACATCTAGAAATCGGTGGAATTTAAAGTTTGAGGTGGCAAACTGCTGACACAGTCGAAAGTTGTCCTCTCCTTCCTGAAAAGAAACAGGAATATTTAGAACAAAAGTAAAGAATGACAGAATATTGTTTAACAATTCAGTCAGCAACATCCCAGCCACATTGTGGTCAATTAATCAAGACTGGACCAGGCAAACCAGTGACTAAAAGCATGTGCAACAAACTATGACATCATCTTAGTCAACCTATGCAACAAGCATAGCTTACTGTGTAAAAAGGCCACTGATAAGATAATTGCATCTTTTATGTCAATCAACTAGTCGGATTCAAGTATTCTCCAAATTTGGTATTAGTGCCACGACACTGGCGCTCACTTGGACATGTAGTCAACAGTTTAAAATGCCAATAAAGAGAGCCACTTGATACCGTATATCACAGTCCATAATGCAAGTTTTTTAGCTACATGATGCAAGCAGCCATTTTGAAAACAGATTTGAACCTCTTGATGAAACCCAGGTGTCACAATTGGTCGGAACAAGCATGTGATGTTTCAGCTTCATTGGTAAGTGGTTTCTGAGTGATAATGTTTACAGTGCAATAAACACATTTTGAAAGAATATAAAACCATTTAATCTTTCAGCACAACACAAAATGATGCAAAACATACTACGGACAAACAATACAAGATATAAGCATGAAAAGTTCAATTGACTTTCAGTCAAGTGAGCTAATAATATGGCTTGACCTCAGATCAGTTTGGATTTCATTATGCAACATTCGCTCATGTGGTGAGATAGCTGACCCTAACACTAACCCTAATTTACAACTGGGGTTTGCTAATGCAAGACAAGACTGTTCTTGAGTCACATATTTTGGAATCGGAGGTTTGTTTGCTTGTTTAGGCCACACCCAGTAATATTCCAGTAATATGACGGCAGCCTGTAAACAATCATGTCTGGACTAGACAACCCAGTGATTGACATTATGAGCATATGTTCATTGGAATATGAAGACAGTCACATGCAGGCCCACAGTTGTCAAAGGTAACTAACAAAGACGTACTTAGTGTATAGCTACTGCATTGATGTGGCAGTCAGATCAGCTGTTTCTGTCTGAGGTGGTTATTATAATTTGAAATTTCTTGTTGATTATCAGAATCGGGAATAGCCAATGCCACATTCACAGGAATGTAAACACGTAGAGACAAGAATTTATAGAAACACAAGGACAAACATTCACTAACCGATAATTATTTTATCAGACATAGTTCTTATTAAGTTATCAACTACAAATACACATTCTAATACCTCGAGTCCAGTTAAATGTGATATGAGGGATTTCGTCAAATTTTCGAAATTCCCTCTCCAGCGCGCCATGACCACATCCAGTCGCAGCCAAGCCGGCTGCCGATCCTAGAAGTTAATTGACAGTCATCGAATATGTACAGTGTGCTTCATGCATATTCTTAAATGAAATATATGCACGAGTAAAAGACAATTGATCCAAGATAGTTACACATTTAGCACATAGACCCTAAGTATAAATTAGTAAAGTTTGTTGACAGCATGTGCACTTCCGGTTGAAAGTATTTTTTTAAATTATGGATCGGATTTTACAGCGGAAAATGTTATTTAGAAAAGATATTCTGATGCGCTTCAAGATTATAAACAATCAAATAAAACGAAAGCAAATGCTAACTAATATGATTTGAAAACATTGATTCGACAATCTGAACAAGCCACAGTCAGCCAGTTACACTTTAGATAACGATTATATATATATATTTCGGTATTAAATTACTAATACGCATGACGATAATGATAAATTTATCTCCATATGTGTATGCTTGTCAATCTAAAAAATTGTACGGCAAGATGGACATAGCCTGATTGACATTAACATGTCCATGTTATGATTTTAGCATGTTTACTCTGCGTGGTATATTCTGTCCGACCTCCTGTGGGCGTGGTCCCGACAGGGTGTTAATGGTTTATTATGCGCATAAAAAAATAATGAGGTGAGACATGCTATGTTGGCGTACCGCTGTATATTAGAAAACAAATCAACAATGGAGTGCGACGTGATAAACGGTTTCTTCTGTTAGAGCGTACTGGACTTAACCAACTCACCAACAAATAAATTATCACCCGTTTCTTCCCGTACCATTTCCTTTTATTAACCAATTAAAAACTACATAACTTAGTGTTTTAGAACTCGTTTAACTAATTTACATTTTTAGGAATTATTTTTTCAACTTGGACAAATCAAACGCTGTTCACGGATTTCATCTGCAGTCTTATACAAATAAGTTTATAATATAATGTGAATAAATAAGTTATAATCCACAATTCAACAAACAAGAGACCATATACCGGTTTATGGTCTCTTGTTTGTTGAATTGTGGATTATAATTAAACCGAGCTGAAGAACAGAGAGAGACGGGCTGGGACGAGTCCAAATTACTACCCGGGTACAATCTGGTTTGAATCCAAAAACAGTTGTTCGCCAAACATGATCAAGTAATGTAAACACCTTTCAATACTTGACACATTTTCGCTCACTGCAGAGAACACGATCGTTAGTTTCTGTATTTTAACAGCTGCACGGTTTCCGTGTGGAGCAATGGTATAATGAAGACGCCGAAATATATTGTGCTAACGTGTGTTTATTAAGTATACCAGGATCCGCTGGTCGTGGGTTCGAATCCCGGATTCGCTTTGAGTGTGATATTTGATTTGTCAGCGCAACCGTGAGTTTCACCATGCGGCACACGTCTACTTCGGGTATTCTTCCCACTTTTAGCTGACACGCGGTGATAAAACCGAAATACATACATATGCATACTGGTAGCCTTGCTCCAAGGCTGTATACTGAAAGATAAGTCCATGGGTGTGTAGTTGTTCTATCCTCCTAATAGGCATGTCTAGATATGTGGACAGTAGGGACTCCAGTCTTCTCATAATTTGCATAATCTAGAAATTATTATTTTATCTAATACGTTTTGCCCTAGAGACTTGTGCAAGTCTAGTATACTGTTTAACGCGTCACAACTGCAACCGGTAAATTTTCCGGTTAGCTCGTTTTACTACAAAAGATAAAGTGCAAATGGAAACAGGGAAATAGTTCAATATTGAAAAGGAAGACCCGAGAATGATAGAATCTGTTCACCTGGTTTATACTGGCTCGTTATACGTTTGACGAGGATTCCACATCAAAGTAATTACAATCAGATCCTTTACACCGTCCATACCTCTAGTATTTGCCACAGTGCCAATAGTTGTTACTTCTGGTTACCATCTATATATTACCTCTTGACAAAGTATAATATAAGAAAATGTAGTTCACAGAATATAAAGCACATACATATTCAACCAGCAACGATAAATTGTCAGTGACTTTATTATATTATAATTCCGTGTGCCGATTAATGCAAAAACGCCCCATTGCTTGACCATAGTGAGACTCGCGCACTTGTTCAGACTTGTTTCGTTTATGTTCCGGGAATACATTTATAGACACCACATCCCAGTTGAATTGTGGGTAAACGGGAGCTCGTTTGTTTTGGTTTTGATTGAAATGGATAACAGTCCGAAATAAACAGGTATATTTTAACCACAGAGTCTAAACGGTACACGTTAACGGTTGATGGCTTATGAATGTACCTTGGTGCTAAATTGTAGTAAATATGTACTGTAGGTGGTTTTGAATTCCATCCTGACGTGTCATTGCCATCAGAGGAAGGCGCCAAACACTTGGGCTGGCTGGCACTATCGATGTCCAAGTGTCGCATAACTAAGGAAAAACATGACTCATCCCTGTCGTAGTCTGCTTTGTCTACGCGCTGATTCCTTACCTGTTGATTTTACCATAAATGCATTAAACCATGATTTTAATCATCGCTTACACGATTTTATACAATTTCTGACAGAGACTGTTATCATTAGATAAATAGGGCCTACACAAAAAATGAAAGACAATCCCTGTAGCCTATAACTTCCACAGAAATGGAATTGTGATGGATCATACTTTTAAGACTAGTTAATGACATGGATATAGTTTCAATTTGAAGATATTTTCAGCCTGTCTAATGCTGTGACTGAGTTCACATTGAACATGACTTGATCGAACATGTAAGCTACACCTGTAAAAAGTGTTGTCAAGAGGCCTTTCATCAGCCACCATCATTATCAATAACAGACGATGTATGTTTTTCAGGTTGGAGTTTAAAACGGATGTATTTCTTCATTAAGGGGACTCAGTGTTACATTTCTAAAACATTTATCCAACCTTTACCAGCCTATAGTATATGGTTCATCATAAGGCATTGGATGTTACAAGTTTGAATCACAGTCTTTCAAACAGAACTTTACTGGTCTGCCAGGTCAAGTTTTATCACCAAGCAGTGCCCTAATACAAGATAGAGCGTCACAATTTTATGTATTTTGCTTACTTTTGAGTTTATCATGTTTGTGGGGGAAAACGACTGAAGTAGTCTTTGACTTTTGTTAGATATGTTTGATTATTCTTAAAGAGTATGTTAAAGTTGTTTTCCCTGTTATTGCTATGGAGCATTTGTGCTGAATTAAGTTCAAAGAAATTTGGTATCGATCCTATCCATATTTAACATGAACACATGTATGAACGTCAGCATTTGTATATGTTTTGAAATTGTGGTTATTTTCTTGCAGATCTCTCTGTGTCAACAAAGAGGTCGTGTTGCAAGAGAGGAGAGATGAAAAACAGTTGTTACTGTTGTTGTCAAACATCTAGCAACATGATGGACATTGACTCTGCCCTTAATGAACTGGGCATGCTGAGTTCAGTCACAGAGAGCCGCAGACAGTTTCTTCGGGAGCGAAGTCGAACCAAAAGTGAGGGGTCTGGGTCTGTGCATGTATCACGGAGTAGTCCAAATGTTGCAAATGGGTTTCAGATTCTTCAAATTGATACCAACTATGTGACAGGTTTTTCTGCAGTTTCTCCTGTGGCATCCTCACCAGCAAGCGGTTCCTTGATACAGCGACAAGAAAACCAAGAGCGTATTAGATTTAACTCAGGGTATCGTGATGTCGAGGACAGTTTAGAAGTTGAAGCCAGGAACAATCGATTATCTAGAATTAAACTTGCACGAGCAAGACGTTTCCGGAAACCCTACAATGTTCCTGGTCGTCTGTATCATTCCATGCAGGAAAGTGACTTTAGTTTAGAGGAAGGAAGTGAAAGTCGGCATTCAAAATCAAACGCTACTTCCCCCACAAAACCAAATGCTGGTACATGTTTAACAAGGTCAAGGTCTTTAGATAACCTTGAAAGTGCAAGGTTAAAGCTTGCTGAACTGTTTGAAAGTGAGCCAAGTCCAGAAGAGAAACAAGCTTTAGAACAAGTTTCAAGGGAAATGGAGAATTTGCAAGTAAACGAATGATACCAAGTGACATTGCTGTATAGTTAGTATACTGGATGGTTGTGTAGATATAGAATATCTATTTGCCAGTCTTCTGTAAAAGTGATACTTATTGTATAGTGATCTTTGAATGTTCAACTTCCAATCAAGATTCAACATTATGGCTGAGCCATCTGACTCATGCATGCCTGCATAATAGAATTTGTCTACAGGCTTCAGTTAACTTCATACACATCACCCATAATATCTGATTCATGACTTTCTTCCTGAAGTGTTCACATAGCAGGAACTTTCTGGTCAGTTGCCTGTATTATCAGATTGTGCATTGAACTGATATTCATGTGCTACAAGTGTGATTTCTAAAATTCCAGATGCAATTCTCACTTATCATGCTTATGGTATTGACATTTTTAAGAAATTCTTTTATTGGGCCATTTTTATTGTGAGTTAGTTGAGACTATTCCCTTTGAATCTGCAAGTTGAGTAGCACAGTGGGTATGGTTTGCTTGCTTTGGACAATGCCCATGTTTGATGCTGCATACACATATAGTATATGATTCTGGTTTCATCTGGCATCATTTCGTTGTGAAAGATCACACTCCTCTACTCTCAATAACTTAACCCAACAATTCCTTTCAAAGATGCTACAGTAAAATTAATAACATGCTTCCTGCAGTTGTAAGGCTTCTAGGTACCTTCTTGACATGTCATGAGGTTCAATTCCCCAAGGAATTAATAGTGTTAACCCCATCTCATGCTGTGGTATGATGGGAAGATTGTTGCCATAAACTCTCACTCACTGCACAATGCTCAACTATTGTATTTGACTAGCTTCTATTGAGACCTCCCTAGAACATATGCTGACCCTCCCAGGGATTTATCTAGACCTGCTTAGAGGCCGACATTTGACCCCAAGTCTGAAACAATTGGAATACATGTAATAGAACTTGCTATGTTATGTTACAGTAATAACTAATCTTATGGCTTTACCATGTTTACAAACTGAGACTGAGAGGTGACTTGCATTTGACTAACCACAGGACCAATAAACAAGCAGAGGCTTGAATATTTGGTTTTACGTTTTTGCATGGAATGGAATATTAAAATACCCCTGAATTTATTAAAATAAGAGAAAGTCCCAATTGTAAACTGAATTACGCGTTTTATTTTGTCTGCCAATAGCACTTAGTTATTATTCCCAGATAAATCCTTGGCTTCCCCCTGAATCTCACCATCCCTCCTTACCTCTATTAAAGTACCACCACCTTCCCTCTATTTCACTGTGTCAGTAGCTACTTATCCATGATATGGCACCATATGAACATGATCAAAGCAGTATGTCCTTCAGGGTTTGGGGTTCTCTATCATGCCAAGGAAACACCAGGATTCTGACTCCAAAATCAAAATTGATGGTTACCATGGTTACTCATGCCCCTGATGTAGTCAGTGGTAATAACCTCTTATCTCAGTGATTATGCTAGAGAAGTATGGCATTAGAACTTTCTTTGATCGAACCTTCTTCAGTATCATGTAACATCATTACCAAATTTGAAAAACATCTTCAGAACATGTAGGGTCACAATCAGTCAATGAAATATGTTACATGTGTTCAACAAGGAATGAAGTGTAGACGATTAGAGACAAGAGACTGCTACATCCCGGTAGATTGTCATGTGGTCCGAGGTGCCAGAGTTTTCTGGCTTGAGTGCCATTCATCAGTTGTGCCAAATCTCCAGGTTGTGGGTACATGTACCAGAATTAACATGGTTATGATCTATGGACTATTGGCACTATATCCTACCACATTCAGCTGTCATGCAGTGACTGAGATACTGTTCAAAACAGAGTTATGCCCAACTGAGATGACATTCGCTGCACCTTCACAGACTAGAAGACTCCCACCTTATCACACTCACTAAAAATAAAAATGATGCATTTTAAATTTTCATAACAATAAAAACATTTGTATTGTGCCAAATTCCATTCACAATGGAAAGCCCATAGCATTAAAGATGAAGAACACAATTCATGTTAGGCCATATTAATTGAATGGATGTGTTTATAGTCCTCTCTGGAAAGATGGATGGAAGAGTGGGTGACAGTTTCAGTTCTAGTGGCAGCTGATTCCATAGTATTGAATACCAAAACATGTAAGATCTCTAAATGATTGCAGTCTGGTTGCAGGGATTTTAAGCATGTTAAGCAGAAGTTTGACAGGACCTTGAGATCTTGAAGGTGCATATTTCTCCCAGAGCTCACACAGATATCACAGTACAGTAAGTGATACGCCTACCTATGTATCAGTTTATGTTGAGGCATTTTAATCAGATTCTAAACTAAGAATTTCAAGGGTTCCTTGTAAACTGTAACGTTAAAAATCAAACTAGGGTGTTCCTTGATTCAATTACTATTGCAAACAGCTTCAAGGACAACTAGATCCCCTTAGCTTTGAACACTGATTATGTTAATTCTAACATTGTGGCTCACACAAGCTATGAACGTGGAGACACTTCTTGTCACTATAGGATGTACAACACTGTATATATTATTGTGATGATGATAAGTCACCTGGACACACAGAAGGATAATCTTTTGCACATCAGTTTACAACTTTATAAGAACAAAATCCATCTTTTATAAATTAATATTATTATTGTGACGTTATGAATGATAATGAAATCTTCGTTCATGTGTTTGTTTGTTCTCTATCGTGTCCGTGCTTGATCAATTATAAATTCCAACTTATTGGGTTTATCTTTAATGTTACGATAATATTTAAATTTTCGACGTTAACATTTTACATTTGTTATTTTTTCATCTTTCCTTCTTTGTGATATATGACATCCAGCCAGATTAATGTTGTCAGGATATTGTAGCATGTCACCATGGTCACCGTTCTGCCGATCCCATCAGCACGCATGTGTGGAACTGTGTAGAATAGGTTCAGTGTCTGTAGTTCTGTTAAATGTAGGGGAAGGGTCACAGGGTGCATCCCTAGGGTGTGAAAGAATCCCGAATCAGAATCACCCTGATAATGATTCTTGGTTTGTCAGCACCATAACTGCTGGTTGGTTTGACGAAAGTGGTAAACGTCTATAAACTGCATCACTTTTTGGCTTTCCCCTCACTTTATGATCTAGCTATCATCATGATCATGCCGTGATATAACTGGAAAACTGTTCAAAGTGGCATTAACCCCAACTCTTGAAACCATCCAACGTAAAATTGGAAAAGTTCAGGATCAGGATGAGAATTTTAGAGTAATGAATTTCAAGATTCTATTTCTTGATGGTAATACAATGTATATACAAGAGTTCCTGAGTCCGTGTTTGATACATGGTATGTCTTACAAGAGAGAAATGGTCTGAATAGTCACACATAGTCACATATGATTTCTTACAGAGTGATCATAGTGATGCCACTTTAGTCTGGAAATCTAGTCTTCCAGACAATTACTGAGAATTAAGGAACATTCAGTACCCATGATTTGTTAATCTGGATGAATTCATAATGAACTATGCTGACATGGTGCTCGTTCTAGCGCTACAACTATCGTAAGTCTAGGTTAAAGGATGGGAGTTGTGATTACCTTAGCACTGAGATCGCTTTGTGGAAAGGGCCCGATTAACAAGGGTTCACAACATATAATCAAGTTTCTATTTTTGATTAGGTTCTAAAGAAATGACAGAGTAATTGTAATCTTGATCCTGTTTGTTGTCAAGGTGATAACAGGTAAATGCTTCAAGTGGCTATGATCTATCTTGTTCAGGATCTGAAGATGAAATTTCATCAGCATTGACTGTTTCTCCCACCATGAATTCATGCTGACATAACTTCACTACTAATTTGTTCAAGTAATAAAAGTGAACAAGTTAATAAAGTGCATTCTGTCATAGTGACAATATTCTTGGTTGTTGCAAGAGTTGCACACATATGTGGAAGAAATCTATTTATGATATTCTACTGTTTACCAGTGTCTACTATATAGTTATTCTTAAATACTAACAGATAATTGTACATACAGCAAAATTGTGCTAAGGCCATTCCAAATGTATTATTTGTTCTTCTGAATTTTGTTTCCTATTTGAAGATGGTGAGGACACTTGAATAGGTGATAACATATTGATTTCATAAATTAAAAGACTTGAATATATTTTGGAAGATGGTAATATTTAATCATGGATGTGTTACAGATTTCTAATTTAATTTTTCTTTTCTTTATTTGCTCCTCAGCCTCTGATTTGTTTTGTCAGAAACACTTTTTTGCAAGCCTTTTGTAGGTAAACTGAGCTTTAGCTATTTGATAGGCATTACTTAGAAGTTGACAAAGTAAACACAATTTAGGGATAACAACTTCTTTAATACTGTAAAGGCGACGATTCGGTATAGATCCTTGCTTAAAACAACAGTATAAGTATCTATACTGAAATGTCACCTTTACAGTATAAAGAAGTTGTTATCCATAAATGGTGTCTACTTTGTGAGCTTTAACTAGTTTACTTTTAACTAGTTTAAGAGATCACCTACAAATGAAAATGTTTTTATTTGACACACTGGACTTGATATGATAATATCTCCCTAATTAGAAAATCACAATTGTCAGGTGCTTTACATGTTTAAGACATTGATGCATGAACAAATACTCAGTTTGCAAGGCCCTACATTCCTCTTTGTTTCAGAAGTGTGTTGTGTTTCTTTTAATTTCATATTTGACTATCGTCTCATGAGATTCTCATGTCCCTGCTGTTTATTTTAGAGAAGACAGGTACAAACTCTGCCAGACAGGAAGTAAGGATTTGTCACATTCTGTGATCTGTGATAGTTCTGGAAGTCTAGTGGAAACATTTCCTCTGCAAAATGAATTGATGACACATTTTTTGTTACTGCACAAACTTGTTTCGACAATGTTCAATGGTCAAACACATTAGCATTATTAGTGATGACCTCTGTGGGAATACCAGGTTAGAATCGGTCACCAACCGATGCTTGTTGTTAGAGGCGACGATTGGGAACTCCATCTTGGTGACTTGGTTGGTTGTGTGTCGTCATACCTCAATGACCGTAGACATTGCTCTCAATATTAATCACTGGTTTGTCTGGTCCACGCTTAATTATTTACAGGCTGTCATATAGCTGGAAAAGTGCTGAAAGTGGCATTAAACAAAAAACTTTTATTAGTGATGAGACACACATAATACATTGTTTCCTTATATTTATAGACTAACTATACCTGCAGTCGGGACAATAATGAACATAAGAAACACGTGGTAGTCGCAGTGCTACATACCTGACAGCGTTGACCGTAACATCTTGTACGTTTGTAGACATGCAGTGTATCTTGAATAATAACTGTCCTATTTCGACCTATCATATTCAGGTTCTTTGATAATGAATCTGTTCAACACGGGGGAAAGAGATCAGTATTGTTGAAAAATCTGTTTCTTTGCCAAAATGACATTGATTTATATCGTGTCTGCACCATACTGGTACGTACTATGCACCTGGAAAAGGTTGAACACCGCTTACAATATATTTCCATTTAAAATTCCTTTTTTATGAAACTGTATCCTGTGTTAATTTTCTGACAAAACCTGCTCGTATTGAAAAACAGACTGAAACTGATTTTGTAATGTCCATTGATGTGTTTTATAACTATTCCATTGAAATAGTTAACGTATTCAACGTAATAAGTGCACCGCTCTAATAAGCACCAACAGCGATATTTGCTAATATATTGGCTAGTGAACAATCCCAATTAGCACCCCTTCCGATTGATCAATGTACACATGACTTATTTATTCGTGTATAATACACACTCTTGTGTTATATGCATCCTTTATTATGGCCAATTAAATTCTGGAAAAATATATCTGTATGTAAACATTTTTCTGGCTGTCAGCATAAACCACGAAATTTACTATCTTTCAACTGTTTTTTTTTTACCAAAATATTCTAATAAAAGCCCCCTATTTCTAATTTTAAGAGCACCCTGGGCGCTTATTATGTTGAATATGGTACTTGACTACTTTTTCAGTTGCTTCTTTGCATCATGTGATGTGACATATTTCCGAACATCTGGAGACAGTGTTCTGGTACCAATTTGTCAGCAGGTTTCTTTGGGATCAGATACGTGTACATACATACATGATAGGGCTGGGGCGAGTCCAAATTTACTACCTGGGTACCCAACCCCTATTACCCTACCCAACCTGGGTACCTGATGTAGGTCTCAAGAGATAGATACAAAATGTCCGTTTGGAAATAGTCTTGACAAAATGTATTTAGATACACGTATGAAACGATCTGGTCATGCATACACTGAAGTTGACTGAAGCTTTATCTTTACTCAAACATATGAAAGTCAGAATGAATGCATTCATAGTCAGAAAGAAATGCGAACGTTAGTGACTTGTAGTGTTATCATGGAGTTCTAGATAATTTTGGTCATTAAACAATATATCGAGTGACTAACCACAGGTCCAGGTAGTCCTGTTGGTACCTGGGTCTACTCAGTACCCACCCGACCCGAATACCCGAGTTATTCGTCCCAGCTCTAATACATGAGATCAGTGTCACAGGTACATATTTCGTTAAGGTACATGGAAGTGTTGGATGTATGAAAATACAGAAAAAGGTGGTACTTTTTTTTATTCCAGGTGTATGTCAGATGCTGACTGGAGCAACCTTGTGCGACTGCTCATGCTTGTGTTGTGTGCTCTCCCTGGTTTTCTTGTCCCTGCTGTCTGTGGATGAATAATGTTGATCTTGATAATCTAACTACCTGATTTTGAGAATATGCTTTACCATTTCCAAATGGGCTTTTTGTTACTTTCTGTTTCCATGGTTACTGTGGTTCTAGTATTTATTATTTCCTGTGTGTTGATTGATGTGTACATGGACACTCTACAAAATGAAATGTATTTTCATAATAAATTAATTTATTATTTTGTGACTTTGTCATGTTGTTATTTGATCATGTTGATGTGATTCAAACTTTCATAATTCAAGACACGTGTATTACCATGTTGACAGAGGTTGCTGACCCGTGAAGATCCGGGGTAGAATAGGTCTTCAGCAACCCATTCTTGCCGTAAAAGCCAACTCTGCTTGTCGTAAGAGGCGACTAACGGGATTGGGTGATCAGGCTCGCTGACTTGGTTGATGCATGTCAACGTATCTCAGTTGTGTGGATCGATGCTCATGATGTCAATCACTGGATTATCTGGTCCAGATTCGATAATTTACAGACCGCCGTCATATAGCTGGAATATTGCTGAGTGCGGCGTTAAACAACAAACACACACTGACTTTTATGTCGTGAATACTTTACGAGGTTGTGTACACTATATTCCTCCATCACCCATCCATACACACAGTCGATATACGGCTGAAATAGCACTAGATGTGTATTGTTTTGTCAAGTATTGAAATGAGGCTGTGTATTACTAATAGAAATCAAATGAGCCCTACTCAGTGCATGAAGTTTGTGAAAATCTTACTGTTGCCTGATATTGAAGCCACTTCAATATTTGTTCACATGATACAGCCACATGAATGACGACATGTTGTATCATGTATGCTAAACACCAGTGTCTAAACCCTGAAGAGGTGAATTCTCAGGTGTGTCAAAATAATTGTCCTGGCAATGTCCTTCAATTTTTGTTATTATTTGACTCCTGATTAGTCATAAGAAATCATTCTTTTGGTGTTGTGAATGACATTTTTCAGAGTCAAACACCCCGATAAGTCAAATTGTTTATCAGGTGCCATCAAGGCTGTCATTATGGTGTATTCATGAAACATTCTTTATTTAGTGTAAATACTCAGAATATGAAATGATCAGTCCTTTAGGCCTTATTAATGTTTTTGTTTATGAGACAGACAGAAAAAACAAACTGAAATTAGAAAAGACTGACATTGTTTTTCAGTCAGGTGAAAGGAGAAAAACACACAAGAATTTATCACCACTGTATTTTCTAACAGAAAAAAAAAAATTTCTTTTAACACTGATTCACAATCATATTTCCATGACCTACAAGTTTGTTTTTCATTCATTAGTAGCAGTACTATTCCAGATGATGAAATTTGTATATATTTCTTATGTACCACCTAAATTGTAAACCAACTAATAAAAGGCGATATACAGGTCCTTGGTATATCTTTCATGGCGTGGGTTCAACAACAAATTGTGGTGGTGGTGGTATGTCGGTGATTATGACAAAACCTTCAAGCATACCCACGTACATGGGGCTGCTTACTTAAAACAGCAGACTAAAAGACAGAAATCGTTGCAACAAATTTTATTTCACAATAAACAAATTAGCAACTGCCTCTAGCTGAAAGCTTCCAATACAGCATATAGCACTAAAGCATTGAACAGCACATTACACAGGACAAGAACTTGATGACTACATGGAAATCAGTAGATGGGGAAGTAGTATCTCCATACACACACGCCTCAGCTTGTCTCCATGCAGATCAGGCATCAAGTTCTGTCTGGTGAAATGTCTAGCAGATAGGTACACTCTTGGTTGAACTTGTGACATATTGCGATACACTGCAGACAGTTACATGGAATATTGTTACAATTAAATGCATAAATATGATTACCGTTATGAAAACTTGGTGAAATTTGACAAATAATCGCCTGAAACTGAGTGAGTAACCTGTTAGAGATTGCATTATGGGAACAATAGAATTGAGCTTTACACATTGTACCCAGGAAACCAAACCTGGGTCATCAGCGACACAAGTGACCTGCTCAACCACAAGGCTACTTGATCGCTGAACTTGTGGGAAAAGAAGACATTGTCTGTTATCAGGGTAATACAAACTGTTCGATCGATCCAACTTGGATCAGCAACCAAGCCAGCAGACAGTGGACCTTGAAAGACCTTAATCAAACTAGTCCTAAGTGCTCTTGTGATAAAGGTGAAGTGCTGGTTATTCTTATATCCTGTATGGTGATCCTTAGTGATATCATAGATTAACAAGCATAAGCATTGCACACTACTCAACAGGACTCCATCATTAACACCACGTCACTACAGGTGATCCTAATCCACGTGCACGGTCAGGGGCGTTTGGGATAAGCGTCAAGACAGAACATCAAGGGAGTAGTTTGAAGTCGGATAAACATATTGTTATGTTCGTGGTTGGGGTTTACATGTCTTGTTCAGGGGGTTTACAGTTCAAGTCAATAAATAAAGCTTTACTTTGAGTGAGTGAGTGAGTTTGGTTTAACACCGCTTTTAACATTATTCCAGTTATATCGCGGCGTGTCAGCTTAATGTGGGAGGAAAGCCCGAAATGATGCAGGTCTCAGACGTTTACCACTTCGGCGAAACCCACGAGCATGGGTATGGTGCTGAAAAACCTAGAAACATAATCGGGGCGAACCGGGATTCAAACCCACAATCATAAGTGTCTGGCATGCCCAAGGGACACAACTCTACAAAGCGAATCGTGGTGCCTTAGACGACTGGGCCACCCGTCCCCCCAAGCTTTACTTTGAAAACTAAAGGCTTCTGCATATTAGGCATAAAATTAGATGACGGAAACAGCCTGATTGACATACCGCCACACCGACAGCTTCACAATTATTGCCAAGTTAGCTTGACAAAGGAATCTTGGCGGATGTCAACATTTTCATGATCATGTTTTTGGGGGTAGGGATTTGTCTTGAAACTTGAGGAATTACCGGCATGTTTTTTATACTTACTAAGTGCAACATCGTCCTTATGTGCATTTCTAGGCTAATAAATTAGCAAGTCATATCATCATATTACATTCTGTTGCATATAATCAGTTATATAGTATGTGACAAATACATTTCATTGATTGTCAAGAGAATGTATT